ACAAAGATCTTTGTGGGTAGGACATCTACAACAGTAGAACAAAGATCTTTGTGGGTAGGACATCTACAACAGTAGAACAAAGATCTTTGTGGGTAGGACATCTACAACAGTAGAACAAAGATCTTTGTGGGTAGGACATCTACAACAGTAGAACAAAGATCTTTGTGGGTAGGACATCTACAACAGTAGAACAAAGATCTTTGTGGGTAGGACATCTACAACAGTAGAACAAAGATCTTTGTGGGTAGGACATCTACAACAGTAGAACAAAGATCTTTGTGGGTAGGACATCTACAACAGTAGAACAAAGATCTTTGTGGGTAGGACACTACAACAGTAGAACAAAGATCTTTGTGGGTAGGACACTACAACAGTAGAACAAAGATCTTTGTGGGTAGGACATCTACAACAGTAGAACAAAGATCTTTGTGGGTAGGACATCTACAACAGTAGAACAAAGATCTTTGTGGGTAGGACATCTACAACAATAGAACAAAGATCGTTGACAGCTAGATATACTTTACATATCTTTGCTCATGTGCTAGTTCTCATAAAATATGAGTTTTCATAATAAAATCAAAACAAAAGATACAACATTGTATGAAACTGGACGAGATTTGAATAAAACTTGAACACAAAAGATACAACATTGTATAAAACGACGAGATTTGAATAAAACTTGAACACAAAAGATACAACATTGTATAAAACTGGACGAGACTTGGAACACAAAGGCTTTCCGTCTTACCATGTTGCAGATGGCACAGAAAATGTTTCGGTAAAAGACTTCGTCAGACCTGGAGAAAACAACGAACTTCCTGTGTGTGAGTACCCCACATGCCTTCACAACATCCGGGTCAACGCCCCTCCCCACCGCGTCGCTTGGGCAGCTGTCTATCACCCCCGGGCTGGACATTAAAGTTACTCAACATTAGCTGTAGTTACATTATGTGTTGGATGTACAAGCAACCTACAACCTACATATGCCCAAAACCTACAACCTATGACATAGACTTACAACCTACTCACATATGCATACAACCTACCTACATACGCCTACAACCTACCCACATATGCCTACAACCTATGACATAGACCTACAACCTACCCACCTATGCCCACAACCTACCCACAATATGCCAACCACCTACCCACAAATGCCCACAACCTACCCACCTATGCCCACAACCGACCCACATACAACTATGTCCCATATAGACAAGACCTAAGACCTGTCAAGACGCACCCATACTGTCTGGCATTACAGGTCATCGAGCTGTTGTTGACAGGAAGTGTCTCGTGCAGCAGACAGTCTTGTGAGTGTCTCAACACCAGCCTCAGTAGCTCGTCCGGTGTGTTGGCCCGGTACACACTCGTATAGTCCCGACACGACACGCTCAAGTTGGCCACAATCATCTGCTGTGGTCAGGATGATTGGTCAGGGATTGGATGATTGGTCAGTGATTGGGTGATTGGTCAGTGGTTGGATGATTGGTGAGTGAATGGACCACTGGTCAGTGATTGGATGATTGGTCAGTGATTGGAAGGTTGGTCAGTGATTGGATGATTGGTCAGTGATTGGATGATTGGTCAGTGGTTGGGTGGTTGGTCAGTGGTTGGATGATTGGTCAGTGATTGGATGATTGGTCAGTGGTTGGATGATTGGTCAGTGATTGGATGATTGGTCAGTGATTGGATGATTGGTCAGTGATTGGATGATTGGTCAGTGGTTGGATGATTAGTGATTGAATGGTTGGTCAGTGGTTGGATGATCAAATGTTCAACAAACCTACCTCTGTAACAAGCATGTAACAAAGCTTACCTCTGTAACAAGCATGTAACAAAGCTTACCTCTGTAACAAGCATGTAACAAAGCTTACCTCTGTAACAAGCATGTAACAAAGCTTACCTCTGTAACAAGCATGTAACAAAGCTTACCTCTGTAACAAGCATGTAACAAAGCTTACCTCTGTAACAAGCATGTAACAAAGCTTACCTCTGTAACAAGCATGTAACAAAGCTTACCTCTGTAACAAGCATGTAACAAAGCTTACCTATGTAACAAGCATGTAACAAAGCTTACCTATGTAACAAGCATGTAACAAAGCTTACCTCTGTAACAAGCATGTAACAAAGCTTACCCTCTGTAACAAGCATGTAACAAAGCTTACCTCTGTCACAAGCATGTAACAACGCTTACCTCTGTAACAAGCATGTAACAACGCTTACCTCTGTCACAAGCATGTAACAACGCTTACCTCTGTCACAAGCATGTAACAAAGCTTACCTCTGTCACACCGTTACAAACGGCACAGTACTTGTTACGGTACATCACGTGTGTCCAGTTGTCCTTCACGTGGAGATAAGTGTCCACCGTGACGTCATCGTACCGGATGTTGCTTTCACAAAGCCGTCTGACGTCATCATCCCCCGTGAAGTTCCTTGGACAGGAAGTGATGAACAAGTAGCCGTCTGCTTTAGACTTGAGATGACAAGAGACGTCTGGGTGGTCCACGCTGGGTTCCTCATCACGTGACTTCCTCCCGTCTGCCGGGGTGTACGGAAACGCGTCACCGGTCACGTAGCTAACCGGCGAGATGGGGTCAAGGACGTCCGGACAGCAGTTGCCGTAGAGCTGGCACTGCGGTCGCTGACACTCGCAGAAGGTGCACTGGATGCTGGCACACGACGGAAGGTTCCAGAAAACCTTGACCCCGTTCTGGCATCGGGCGGGGCAGAAGCTCCAGTGAAAGTGTTCCGGCGTCGTCGTGGTCTTGTCCCACCGGAAGTGCAGTAGCTCCCAGTCTTTGGCTGGAGATTTGTGATTGCTGGGGGTGTGGCTGGGGGCGGGACCGCTGGGAAGCTTGCCCTCACTGCGTCCTGTCCATTCTTGCATCGAGCCATTCATGGGAGGATCCTCACTTAGACCCCACCTATCTTGTAAAGTCCCATTCATGGGCGCGTCTACGCTGTGACCTGTCCCATCTGGACCAGTACCGTTCAAAGGAGGTGTGTCCTGGCTGTGGCCCCTCCCATCTTGTGAAGTACCTTTTATGGGCGTGTCCTGGCTGTGGCCCCTCCCATCTTGTAACGTGCCCTTTATGGGCGTGTCCTTGCTGTGGCCCCTCCAATCTTGTGACGTGCCCTTTATGGGCGTGTCCTGGCTGTGGCCCCTCCCATCTTGTAACGTGCCCTTTATGGGCGTGTCCTTGCTGTGGCCCCTCCAATCTTGTGACGTGCCCTTTATGGGCGTGTCCTGGCTGTGGCCCCTCCCATCTTGTAAAGTGCCATTGATGGGCGTGTCCTGGCCTGTGTAGCGACACACACTCAACAGTCTGGCCACCACTGAACACATCAGGCAACTTGACAACAATACACAGATAGCTGACGTCATGCTCGTGTTTAACTCTGTCAAGTTCTGTGTAGACAGTGTCTAGATCTGTGTAGACAGTGTCAAGTTCTGTGTAGACAGTGTCTAGATCTGTGTAGACAATGTCAAGTTCTGTGAAAATATTCGCTCCCTATTTAATGAAATTTGAACTGTTACATTCTTGTATTTTGATAAACTTCAACTGACTTTGTAGAAGCTCCAACATTTTATTTTATGGAAGGAAATTTAAAAAATGAATATTCTATTGATGTTCCGTAACCTACATTGTCTTGTAAAATTGAAAAGTTTGACCGCAAGTTCTGGGAAAACCTACCCTTTGTACTGAACTACAAGTGGCAAATTTCGCACCGTCCCTAAACATTTATAGAAATGTCCAGGTACAAAAATTCAGTACACCCAAGTTTTTCAGCTTGTAAAAATTTTTGTTTCCGAATAATCTGTCAGTGATTATTTGAACTGTATCCTAACGGAATATAATTAGCATGGAGCTTCATTAATAAACGTTTTGAATTTCAGAAATAATTAGCTAAAATGTATTTTGTTGTCATCTAAATCGATTCAATGGATTTTTGATATTCCCACAAAGTGCAAAAACTCTTTGATGGGGGGGGGGGGGGGGGGGTAGGTTGTTGTTGAGATTTTTATGACGTGTGAGGGATAAATTTAGCTGTTGGTGGCCAAAAATTAGCGTCAGTAAAACCGTATTGTTTTAATAGTAAATTTTTCGATTTGGTGTTACCCCCTAAATTATGTTACCCGGACCCCCCCCCCCCCTTAGTGACATTCTATTTAAAAGTGTGGAAGGCAGGTGGGGCTACAGGTGGGTGGGGCAGCATTTGTGAATGTTAGTTGTGGGGTTTTGACTCCTCCCTCTCCCCCCCCCCCCAACCAGTAAAAATGTCTCAGGGTTGTCCCATGTTTTGTGTGGATTCTGTCAGGGCTGGTTTTAGACAGTAGTGTGTCGGTGTTGTGTTAAGGTTGGTGTTGTGTTAAGGTTGGTGTTGTGTTAAGGTTGGTGTTGTGTTAAGGTTGGTGTTGTGTTAAGGTTGGTGTTGTGTTAAGATTGGTGTTGTGTTAAAGTTGGTGTTGTATTAAGGTTGGTGTTGTGTTAAGGTTGGTGTGTCGGTGTTGTGTTAAGGTTAGTGTTGTGTTAAGGTTGGTGTGTCGGTGTTGTGTCAAGGTTGTCCCTAGATTTACATCTCAGATTAGGTGAGTACTGCCTCACGTGCTAGAGGACGTAAGAGAAGAAATCCGTCTGCCGTAGGCCATTGCTTGACACATGCTTGAAATTTCCCATCATTAATTAGTTAATTAGCTCATGTCATTGCTAATAAGAATAATACGTTGCAGAGTTTTTTCCCTTCTGTCAAACGTTACAAGATTTGATGAAGAATCAAAAACACGATTGGATATGCCATAAAGTGTTTTTATTGCGGGATTTCCGAGGGTAAAAAACTGTGACAACATAGCAGGCACAAACATATTGGCTACAAACATCAAATGATGGTCGTGGGGGTGGGGGCGGGGGGGGGGGGGGTTGATACTTAGTTAACAGTTATTTATTTTTACCGCCATTTTAAGTAGGTAGTTCAAAACGTGAGTTATTTTAGCAGGAAATACTTGAGCGCTTGGTTGACCAGTGTGATTCATGTGGACGTGGAACTTAGAACAACCTTTTAACAACTTGATGGCCAACCATAGGCTCTTTTGTTTTGTTGCTTTGCAGCTGTAAATTTTTTAAATTTTAAAATTGGATTGTTTATTGTTGTAGCGGAAAGGTTTTAGTGCTGCCCTCTACCTTGCTCTTAGTGCTGCCCTCTACCTTGTGCTGACATGCAAGCAGTTGTTTTTAAAATTGCCCTCTACTTTGTGCTGTTCTAAGTGCTGACATCCAAATAGTTGTTCTTCGTGCTGCCCTATATGTTGTTCTTAGTGCTGCCCTATATGTTGTTCTTTGTGCTGCCCTCTATGTTGTTTCTAGTGCTGCCATCTACGTTGTTCTTAGTGCTGCCAGCTAGGCTGCTGCCCGACGGACGAGTGCTGCCCTCTGTGCCGCCCCGCCCTGTCATAAGCCTCAAGACCCGGCTATTACAGATGTACGACACAAAGATAAACACGCCCTGAAGTCCATTCAAGACCACAGATACACATCTGAAAGTTGACCACATGATTCATTATGTAAAAACACATCTAAAAGTTTAAAATATATATATATATATATATATATATATAATTATATAGAAACATCTGAAAGTTGTTGAAACAAAGTTGGCCACCCAAATGGCCACTCACCTTAAAGCACCCGCTAATGGCCCAAATAGCCACTCACCTTAAAACACCCGAGTTAATGGCCCAAATGGCCACCCACCTTAAAGCATCCGAGTTAATGGCCTCGCCAACAAGAGCTATGGCCCAATAGACGCCAGTCAAGGACGATAACTTGATATAGATCACGAAATTACGTCGGTTGTCTCTCTTGAAATGGGCGTTGTCCTGTAGCTTCTTCACAGCGTGGATCTTAAAGCCAGTCACAGCAAACATGAGGAAGTTGGCGGCTATAATCGTGGCTAGGGGTACGACCATTGACACACCTGGTACAGGTGGATAAATTTATAGGTAACATGTCTAGGTCTATGGACTATCTGGGTCTATGGACTGTCTGGGTCTATGGACTGTCTGTCGTATATTTGACTTTAAAAGCTAGCAGCAACTTAACATGAGATGGACGTCATTTTCTTTTAGAGGGGGCCCAGGGTTGTGGGAACTTCCATCTCCCTCCCCCACCCACCACCTCCCTCCCCCACCCACCACTTCCCTCCCCCAACCCACCACCTCCCTCCCCCACCCTACCACCTCCCTCCCCCACCCTACCTCCTCCCTCCCCCCACCCACCACCTCCCCCACCCCCCACCAGATCCTACCTACAAGAAATCCTGAGTCCAGATAACACCTGTAGCGTCCATACCCAATCCTGGCTCCACCGGATGTGACGTAGGACCCAGCCACCACCGCGGCCACAGTGGTCAGCGGTAGGACCAGCGACACGATGACCCGCTGCAACAGCTGGGGACACGCCCTGTCGGTCACGTGACGAGTTTTGGCGGTAAAGATCCGGAACATGTGGAAGCTGCAGAGGTAGGTCCAGGAGAACATCCAGAGCCAGCAGACGTGGGCGGAGATCCCCAGGGTGGGGCAGAGCTGGCTGGTCGTGGGGCTGGGGGGGAACACGGGGCGTGAACTCTAACATCACAACACTAACATCATAACATTAACTTCATAACACGAACAACATAACAGTAACAACATAACAGTGACATCATAACACAAATATAACACTTACATCATAGCACTTACATCATAACACTTACATCATAACACTTACATCATAACACTTACATCATAACACTTACATCATAACACTTACATCATAACACTTACATCATAACACTTACATCATAACACTTACATCATAACACTTACATCATAACATTTACATCATAACAGTAACATCATAACACTAACATCATAACACTTACATCACAACAGAAACATCATAACACTAACATCAGAACACTTACATCACAACAGAAACATCATAACACTAACATCATAACACTTACATCACAACAGAAACATAATAACACTTACATCATAACACTAACATCATAACATTTACATCATAACACTTACATCCAGAGTTTCTTCCAGGCATCCCTCCGGGGGGGGGGGGTGAGGGTACACCGCCCCCCCCCCCCGAAGAAAGTCTACCGCCCCTACCCCCCCCCCCCTCCCCAAACGAAATGGGATTTATACAGAAAGTATATACTTTTGACAGTGTCCGCCCCCCCCCCCCCCCCCCCGAAAATTTCAAGTCCACCCCCGGAGAAAAAAGTCTGGAAGAAACACTGCTAACATCATATTACTAATATCATAACACTAATACTGTAATACTAATATCGAAACACTAACATATAGTATCATAAGATGAATAAAATAACATACAAAATTAAAAATGTGAACAACACAAATATATAACAAAAATCCCAACAAGAACAAATCTTACGTGTGACTCAGAGCAATGTACAGAACTTGTGCCAGCAACAGACTAAAGGACAGGAACATGATGTTGTAGCCAGCAGCACTGCGCAGCACCGGAAACCGGAAATACGTCATCAAGGTTATACAACAGCACGTGACCGATGCCCCAGAACACACCAGTGAGAGGTAGTAGATGGCTAACACGGTGGCCGTCAACACATCCTGTGTTTGAGGTGTGTAGGTCTCCAGCAGGTCAACACACACGTGTAACACACCGGCTGCGTCCATGTGTAGCCAATTTAAGTCCGACACATCGCTGAAGCGCATGCGCTGCGTGTTGACCTGTAAGGTCAGCTGTGCTGTAGGTTGAGAGGTCAACAACTCCGTGTTTAGCTGGTAGTGTGGCGGTTCGAACCTCACATAGCTGCATGTCAAAGTTCTGCTGGCGATGATGTAGACTGGTCGAGTGGCTAGCTCAGTGATGGCCCGCACATTGTATGTGAGTGAATGACACTCCAAACCCGAGTCTTGACAGTGGGAATCAGGACTGAAGAAATCTGACCAAAGGATTGGATTTAACTTGATTTTCTTGCCCGCGTCAAGTTCCAGGGTAATTGGTTGATTTAGAAAAATGTCGAGCATTTTCTTCTCGAGCTGGTCACGTGAGAGGTGAAGGTCGAAGTCTGCTGTGAGGTTCACATCCGCCCAAAACATGAGAGCTGCACAGGCTGGCCATTGGTCAGTTGTCACGTGATGGGGTTTAAAGATGACGCCTGCCTCTAGGCTGTAGTCAGTTGTCAAGTTGGACAGTCGAGAGGTCAGCTGAAAAATATTGAGTGGACAGTAGAAAGGTCAGGCAAAAATATTGAGTGGACAGTAGAAAGGTCAGGTGTAAATATTGAGTGGACAGTAGAAAGGTCAGGTGTAAATATTGAGTGGACAGTAGAAAGGTCAGGTGTAAATATTGAGTGGACAGTAGAAAGGTCAGGTGTAAATATTGAGTGGACAGTAGAAAGGTCAGCTGACAAAATATTGAGTGGACAGTAGAAAGATCAGGTGTAAATATTGAGTGGACAGTAGAAAGGTCAGGTGTAAATATTGAGTGGACAGTAGAAAGGTCAGGTGTAAATATTGAGTGGACAGTAGAAAATTCAGCTGACAAAATATTGAGTGGACAGTAGAAAGATCAGGTGTAAATATTGAGTGGACAGTAGAAAGGTCATGTGTAAATATTGAGTGGACAGTAGAAAATTCAGCTGACAAAATATTGAGTGGACAGTAGAAAGGTCAGGTGTAAATATTGAGTGGACAGTAGAAAGGTCAGGTGTAAATATTGAGTGGACAGTAGAAAGGTCAGGTGTAAATATTGAGTGGATAGTAGAAAGGTTAGGTGTAATGACAATAATTAAGGTTATCTTTGTAATGATGTATCAGACCATTAGGATACCAAGAATGATTATGGTGTTAATGGTGAAGGTGTAAAGTAACCTTCGAACCTGGCCGGGGCAGGTGAAGTAGGGTTCACCTTTTTCTGTGGCCTCGGTGTGTGAATGGACAATGTGGTCAGCACCGTGCCCAGCCGTCTTTACTTCCCAACGTAAGTCAGGTACTCATCAGAACTGAGTCGACGTTCTTCTGAAATGAACTCTATATTCGAACTCGAGACTTTCGGGTAGGCACTAGTACGCTCTTCGACCCGACCACGCCGTCCCATAGTGATGATTATGGTGATGCTGCTGTAGAAAGATGGAGATGAAAAAAAAAACTTGCCGTACTGCTAGGTTAAACGCGTGCAACAGAACCGTGTGGGTCAGGTTCCCTGTGGTCAGGTTCCCTGTGGTCAGGTTCCCTGTGGTCTGGCATTGGTCTGGGACTGCCCGGGGCAGCAGCAGGCGCAGTCTGTAGCTCAGACCTCGGATCTCGGTCAAGGCCGTTGTACAGGTCCTGTTGGTCAGGAGTTTGCCGGGTGAGCACATCAGTGGCATACACGTGCCCTGGGGAGCCAATCAGATTTGTTGTTACACGTGTAACAGAAGTGTGGAGCCAATCAGCTTTGTTGTTACACGTGTAACAGAAGTGTGGAGCCAATCAGATTTGTTGTTACACGTGTAACAGAAGTGGGGAGCCAATCAGATTTGTTGTTACACGTGTAACAGAAGTGTGGAGCCAATCAGCTTTGTTGTTACACGTGTAACAGAATCGGACTTGTAAATTTTTCAATGTAAACTGAAAGCTCAGACCAATTATTCCAAAGAGGGGTGTGGGATCTATGTAAATACTAGAGCATCTGTGCGCGTTGCCGCGAATAACAACAAAACACTTCATCGAATGCCCAATTTTATTCAGTGTCTTAAATAATTCAGTTTGAACTATTATTTTTTGTGGCGTACATAAATAATCTATGAGTCGTATGCTAATTAAATTCTAGGATTGGAAGATCTGTCAGTATTGACAATTTACAATAAGGTTGGAAGCTAACAGAAATAACAGCTAAATGTATATATTAAACCTATAGCGGAGAAATAATAAAGCATTATAAAGCTATACATTTTCAGTCGACGGGACTCAATTATAGGCTAATGTTTGCTTTAAAGAGACCGATGCCCTGTAATATTGATAAACAATCATCACTTTTCTGGCTGTATAATAAATATTGTGTTTGCACATTCGAATATGTCTTTTATTTTATTACCGTTTTTTAATAAAATAAGGTTTATTCATCTTTTTTTTTTTAAATATACGACCGTTTTTATTAGCTCAATACATTTTGCTGAAGATACATACCTCATAGCATCGGGAAAATGTTACAAACAATGGAGAGAGAAATATTCTGAATTAAAAGATCGCTTAGTTACTTACATCAAGGGTAGACCACTCATCTATAGAACAGTTTGACAGGGCGGTCCTGGTCGGATTATCGTCCTTGTTTTCCCAGCGAAAGTTGAACATTAGAGAAAACATGAGGGGCGGTGGGGGAGGTTTGCTGAACTGGACGTCACATGAGACTTTGTCGCCCTCATACGCCGACCTCTAGGGGACAACAAAATTAAGGGAACGCTACTTGGTGCATCGAAGTCAAGGGAATTAAGTGAATTCAACTCATTAAAGGGATATAATTCAGTTTGGTGCAATTTAGGAACATAATTGAGTTTGATACAATTGATTGATACAATTTCAAAGAAAGAGAATACTAGCAGCTTGACTTAGAGTGAGTTAAACTAAAATGTTTATCTCCGTAAAGAATGTCAACTTACTTTTGAAATCCGGTGCAACATTTCAGTGATAGAGACCTGTGGAGTGGTGTTTCAAGCGTCATTTTTTGTTTCATTTTTACAAGCAAGGAATATGTAAACGTATCCTTACACTGAGACATTTTTGGTCAAATACCGCTATCTTTTTACAGATAACACAGAAAATATTTTTGTTTAAATACCGCTAGATGCCCTACAGATGCCCTACAGGTCCCCTACAGATGCCCTACAGATGCCCCACCTTGTTGCAGATGGCACAGAAAATATGTTGTTTAAATAACACTAGATGCCCTAAAGATGCCCTATAGATGCTCTATAGATGCCCTACCCATGCCCTACAAGTCCCCTACAGATGCCCTACAGATGCCCTACAGATGCCTTACAGATGCCCTATAGATGCCCTACAGATGCCCTACAGGTCCCCTACAGATGCCCTACCTTGTTGCAGATGGCACAGAAAATATTCTGGTAGTTCCTCAGACTGTTCAAGTTGTAGACTTTAAAAATGTTGTCCTTCAGGCTGTGGCAGGCCTGCTCTACTTCACCCAGGTCTTTCTCAGCTGGACACCTGTCAATCACCTGCTCCCTGTGGTGATAGCCAAGGTCAGTTGTCACATTACTTACAGGAACCTTAGTCACCTGCTCCCTGTGGTAATAGTCAAGTTGTCACAGTACTTACAGGGGCCTTTGTCAACTGCTCCCTGTATTGGAAGGTCACCTACCTGTATTAAAAGGTCTCCTACCTAAACAGGTAACTTACCTGTATTTAAAGGTCACCTACCTGTATTGAAAGGTCACCTACCTGTATTGAAAGGTCACCTACCTGTATTGAAAGGTCACCTACCTGTATTTAAAGGTCACCTACCTGTATTTAAAGGCCACCTACCTGTATTGAAAGGTCACCTACCTGTATTGAAAAGGTCACTACCTGTATTGAAAAGGTCACCTACCTGTATTGAAAAGGTCACTACCTGTATTGAAAAGGTCACCTACCTGTATTGAAAGGTCACCTACCTGTATTGAAAGGTCACCTACCTGTATTGAAACTTATCACAGGTGAGAAAACGAGTGTTCCCCGGGGGTGAGTGCATGACCCGGCAGGTGGAGTCTGCCCTCAGGGCAAGTCTGAGGAAGGTGTCTGGGTCTGTCGCAGTGTAGACAGACATGTAGCTGCTGCACTCGATCAACACGGGGACAACTGCAGTCTGAAGACAGACAGACAACAAATCTCTGATGGGTCTTCTTTACTTAAATACAGACAGACAGCAAATCTATGACGGGTCTACTTTACTTAAAGACAGACAGACAACAAATCTCTGATGGGTCTACTTTAACTAAAGACAGACAGACAGCAAATCTCTGATGAGCCTACTTTAACTAAAGACAGACAGACAGCACATCTCTGATGGGTCTACTTTACTTAAAGACAGACAGACAACAAATCTCTGATGAGCCTACTTTAACTAAAGACAGACAGACAGCAAATCTCTGATTTGTCTACTTTATCGGTTTTGCTTTATCAGAACTGGATTGACTGTTTCTGTGAACTCTAAGCACCATAGAGATGTCAGTAGTTGCTTGTTTGGATGCAAGTGTTTTGTTGTGTGAAATTGCGTGTTGGCATTCGGTTTAAGTGTACTATTGCACTCAATAGACCCCACAATGTTGATCTACTTATATCCTTCGTGTGTAACTTCTTCATACAAGTAAAGCAACTTGATTTACCTTAGTTACACCGTTACATGTGGCACAGTAGATATTTTTATAAACAGCCGTTGTAGTGACGTCATAAACACGTGTGTAAATGGCCATTGTCGTGTTGTCATCGTTCACGTTACTCTGACACAAGTTCACACTGTCCATGTCGTCCGTGTAATCTGGTGGGCATGAGCGTACGTACAGGAAAGTGTAGGAGGCTGTGTTGGCTTCACACCCTAGTTGGGAGCTGTTTCCTCTTTTACCGGGGTTTACCGAAGCTAAATTTAGATCGTCTCCACGAGCTGAAGTATTGTGTGACGCCGGTGTCGTTATCTGGGTCTTGAGTGAGGTGTCACTCAGGGGAGTCACAAAGGCGTCACTCAGGGGACTCACAAAGAATGAATCGTGGGTAAGAGAAAATGGAATTTCGGACAACTCCGGGCAGCAGATGCCGTACACGTCACAGGCCGGCCGCCGACACTCACAGCGGACACACTGGAACTCGTCACACGTGGTGCTGTCATCCTCCACGCTGACCAGCTCGCCCCTGGAGCAGCGCATGGGGCAGTAGCCACGCTGGACGTCCCGGGCCGACTCCGGTGACTTGTGTCGTCTGCTCCACAACTCGAGCAGGGCGAAGATCTTGCTCCGTGTCACGGCTATGGTCGGCTGCTCGCTGCTGGGGGTCAGCGGGGTGGAGAAGAAGGATGCGGTCTCGTAAATGGTGATGGCGGTGGTGGAGACGACAGGTGGTGTTTCAAAAATAGGTGTGGTGGAGCGTGTAGGTGGCGCTTCACGTTTGGTGATAGTGGTGGTAGTGGTGTCAACGACAGATGGTTGTGTCTGCCTAGTGCTACTGTTATTATCGTCCACATTTTCTCCCAAAACAAAGCGTATGGCTTTGCTCGTATTCCCATTTTCCTCTCCATACTCGTCTAGTGCCAGAGAGAATAGATCTGTATTGCCAGTAAAATTTTCAAGATTCTCGGCTACAAAAGATAAATTACTGGCCAAACTCGAAACGTTCGCACTAAATACCGGCAGGTAAAACAACTCGCTAGTTAGACACACAAACACCGCTATAATACTCGCCATTACGTGAAAGCAAATTACCTTTAAAAATATGTAATCATATTCGGTTTCTTTAATATAACATCTTGGATACTAACCACACATCACAGAAAAATACAACTTGGTGAAAACGTCAAATAATAATTTAAATTCATCAAAATTTCATTTCGTGATAGATTAAAATGAAGGAAAAGTCTTCATGTGTATGCATACTACCGTTATAAGAAATGTTTTCGAATAAAAAACAAATAATTTCTGCTACTAGCACAACTTAACCACCTTGTATTTCTGTCGACTCTACAATCCTGCACTGATGCATACACCACAAACATGTGCATCAGTTTCGTTACGTTTTTTTTTTTTCAGACTCGGACATTTCATCCCAAGGTACGAACTGAAAATTTGAAAGAATTCGCATGAAAACGATGGGGGAAAAGTGCCATTTGGTTCGGATGGGGGGGGGGGGGGGCATCAGTCGCGTGGTATTGATGACGTCACGTGGCTGAGAGCAATCACGTGGTCCGAGAATATTTCCGGTCCGCTAATGATTTGCAGACGATAAACGTTCTCACGTAGTCAAATTATACAAAATCCATTATGACGCAAATAATGCAGCATTGATGAGGCCCACTTTTCAACAACGCTCAAGTTTACTTAAGATTTTTCAAATAAATACAGATCGACTATTTCCATACTTTCACAGCAAACAAAATTTGGTGGGATTTCTGAAGGCAAACAAAATTTGGTGAGATGTTTTTTTTTTATTGCAAACAAAATTTGGTGGGATTTCTTATTGCAAACAAAATTTGGTGGGATTTCTGACGGCAAACGAAATTTGGTGGGATTTCTGAAGGCAAACAAAATTTGGTGGGACTTCGTATTGCAAAGTTTGATGGTATAACTTATGTATGTGTCCCTTTGCTGTAGTATAAAGTAATGGAGCACTTTTGATGAAATCAGTGGTGGAATTAGTTAATTGGTTTGGTTGTTGCTATTTTTATTTTGGTGTGAAATTAGTGGGTCAGTTTGAAATATTAAATTATTTTTATTTTGGCATGAAATTAGTGGGTCAGTTTGCAATATTTTGGTATGAAATTAGTGGAATGTTTTGGTATGAAATTAGTGGCTCAGTTTGAAATGTTAAATTAATTTGGTATGAAATTAGTGGGTCAGTTTGAAATGTTAAATTATTTTGGTATGAAATTAGTGGGTCAGTTTGAAATATTAAATTATTTAGGTATGAAATTAGTGGGTCCGTTTGAAATATTAAATTATTTTGATGGTATTAGTTGTTCTTTGTTGCAGAGTTTGTGGAGGAGGGTTTGAACTCGAGACTTTTCGGTTTTTACTTACTCGACCACTCGACTCCTTTGTTCGAGGTATTAGTGGATTAATTTAGGCGGAAGTGGTGACTCGGGCTTGGCTGGGGGAAAAAAGAATCAATTTAGTGAAATAACTGGATCTGTTGTGGTAGATTTTTTTTTCGGGGGGGGGGGGGGGCTTTATTTTTTTTCTTTGCAAAACAAGTAGGTTTACAGCCCAAACAAACATTATATCTCGTGATGTAACAGAAATGTTTGATATAGCCTCATCATTGACGGTTTTTTTTAAAAACTTATAATAGACCACGCTCAATAAAAATATATCATTAAAGATATCATTGACTGAAATGCGAACCTCTTTCAAAGCGGTATTTGCCTGATCGAATTTACCGTACTCGGTCCAATAATATCCCATCAATAAACGTTTACAAGTCTGGCCATCAAATGGGGTAATGACTGAAGGAAATATAATGTAATACAAATAATACGACTTTTAAAAAAACCTTTTGATAATTTTATTATTTGACAATTATTAGCGACAAAAAAAACTATAATTAATATTCATTGACAAATAGACGGCCATCTTACTGATGAATGGACGGTGACGATGGTCTTACTGATGAATAGATGGCAGTCTATTTTCTCAAAGATCGTCGATCTAATTATTGCTGAATAAACGTATGTCGAGTTGGTGGATGGAGCGCCATGTATGGCACAGCGAATGTCTGGCATGTTATTCCTGAATAGTAATAAAGAGGTAGAGTTGGTATCCTCAAACATTCAAATCAATTGGGAACCTACGAGTAGAGTGGAGGTTGGGAACCAAAAAATTGTCAAAACACAACATCGTTGTTATAGACTACAAAAAAATTTATCTCCTCTAAAATAAATGTATCATATATTCTTTATAACAGTAAGGGAGGGGAGTGGGGGGGGGGGGGAGGGAGGAACTTCCAGTGCGATCGGGCTGTAGACATTTTAAAAAATATTTGCGTTTTAAAAATAGAATAGGATCGAGAAGAAAAAAAGAATTGTGCACCAAATGAACACAAACAATGAGTGTATAAGAAAGCGGAAAACCGTAGAAACCATTGATTAATTTTTTTTTAAAGTTAATTTGACATCTAATAATGTATCATTTTATGTGACAATTCATAGTAATAGAGTATTGACCTACGTGAAAAGTTTGAAAAACAAATGCTTCGGTAGAATTTTTCGAAATTTTGCTCGCAAGATTCCCCCTTGAGAGACGATTGAAAGAGGAATCTAGTTAAATTATTATGATATTTTTTTAGAAATCGGAAATAGTTTAAAGTATTACTTTCGTTCACCGGAAATCATTCAAAATTTGATAAAAACCAATTAATAACATCTTATATCAATGAATGAAAATTCATCCACCTAAATGAAACAGTAATATCGGTATTATAGAAACCAGAAATAACGTAAAGCAGACCTACCTACCCCTTCGAATATCCGAGGTCACAAAAAATTGAAATTAATCCAAGTATAAGATTTTTATATTTTTGTATGAAATTTCGTCTCCTTAATTGAAGCCTATTTAAGTTTCCGTTTCCCACTGAAATAAAGTAAAGTACCACTTCCGTTTACCGGAAATCTTTCAAACGAAGCAATAATTTCGTCCACCTAACTTAAACGGTAGGCCGACTCAAGTTATCTGCTTTTGAAAAACCAGAAATAGTGTACGTACCTTATCTGGTTAGGGGTAATCCATAAATGATGTCACGCTTTTTTTTTACCTTATCCCCCCTCTCCCCCCCCCTCTCCTCTCCGTCACATATCGTCACAAAAACCCAGACCCCCCAAAAATGACGTCACACCTCAGCCTACAACCCCCCTCAAAATTAAATACGATAATTTTCCAAAATGTTATCTGAACTCTGTCAACATAAAGTATTTTAATCAATTCATATTACAATTTATTGAAACAGTTTTCTAAAATGCGAAATAACGGCTAAATAATTAGTTTTCTAACATTGCAAAAGTGTGACTTCACAACATCTGATATATATATATATATATATATATATATATATATATATATATATATATATATATATATATATATATATATATATATATATAAATATAAATATAAATAAATATATATATATATATATATATATATATATATATATATATATATATATATATATATATATATATATATATATATATATACCTATATATATATAATATAGGTATATATATATATATATATATATATATGCTACCTCAGGCCTGCTTTTCCAAGGACTAAGGATTCTAGATCTAGAATCTAGATTCTAGATCTTTGTGGTTTGTTTCCGACTAAAAAAAAGTCCTGGCCCTTTTTATAAAATCTGGCAATCCTGTTCTGTCAACACCGGCATCTTCATAAAACAACATGTCGGGGACGTGGGCGAGCGAAATAGAACCAGATGTAAGTTCATTCATAAATTATAACTGCGCAATATGATCGGTTAAGTTACTTAAATTACGTGTCGAAAAGTAAAAATGACTTATTTCAACAATAAAAGTATTTCCAATGGAAGATTTAGCCTAAAAATCGTTTTTCAGGCGAAGTAGGATATGTTGCCAGTTTTCGATAAGTCACGTTCGGCCCCAAGCCCCAATAGAATTCAATAAAGTAGATCTAGATCTAGATCTAGAATCTAGATCTAGGATACAGCGTTGGTATCAGTGTTCCTACTTTTGGTAGCCAGAGGTTTGCATGTCAATAGGAAATCGTTCTGTTCATAGGCTAACAAGTTATTTAAAAAAAAATAGCATGTTTTTGAAGTAGGATCAACTTTTTAAAAAATGTGACATTTAGAAAAAAATACCATAGGCTTTTAACTTTTTAAGCTGTAGACAGCAACCCATCTAGAGTAAAGTTCTGCAACTGATCACACATAGACCTAGCGGAAAATTCAGATTTTCATTGGACGCTATTTTGTAACCGTTTCACACAGAAATTAACCGAAAGTACTATGTTACTCCGCTGCCATTCTACTTTAACAAAAGTTACATGTAGATTTTAGGCCTATAGGTTCTAGACTTGTGCAAGTGGTTGGTGACACAATGAGGGTAAAACACCCTAATCGTTACCTCAGCTGCGGCCATCCCAATTTCTCCTCTCAGATTGCTTTAAAATAGCCTTAACTAGGCCCTATAGTATTTAAGGCCCCGCACATATGTAGAAACTATTCATAGTTAATCTAGTTATAAAAAGCTTTGATTTGGTTTGTTTTATTTATCTCATCCTGGACCCAGTGTTTTCTTCCGGGCAGAACTAGAATCACCTACGACGACGTCATACCTAAACTTTAAATAAACAAATTTAAAAACTCCTCTTCCAGAAGGAGAAAACAAAAGAATTTGATCTGGATATATTTAGAAATGGACATGCGTATAACAGATATCAGTAGTTTTGTATAAAACATCCACACAATTATTATACGATGCGATAAACAGGGTGATGGCTGCTGCGTGTTTTTAACCCCATGCGGAACTTTACTCTAGGTGAGAAAAATCCAAGACCAAACAACTGTTGCCTTGCAGATTGCTCTAAGGTGAATAAATGCTATCCTCAGAAAGTAAAGCAGTCAACAGGGCATATTGCATATCTCAAGATGGCATGTGTTGCCTACCTAATACCTCTAGTCTCAAATACCCTTTCATACAGAAGTGCTCATAAGCCTACATGCTTATTAAAATGTATTTCTTCCTTTAATTCATTATGTCTCAAATCAGGCTTGAAAATTAACAGATAGGCCTATATTAATATAAATTAATACATATTTTCTAGCTCTTGTTGTTGTATGTCTGTCTATTCTATTCTAGATATTAGATATTCTAATATTTTCTGTTAAACACAGTCTCTTGTATTGAATTGAATGTTAACCAAATGTAGGCCTAGCTGTATTAAAAAGTCTCTTGTATTTAATGTTAACCAAATGTAGGCCTAGCTGTATTAAAAAGTCTCTTGTATTTAATGTTAACCAAATGTAGGCCTAGCTGTGTTAAACACAGTCTCTTGTATTGCAGTATGTTCCAGGCTACTATGGAGCCTATGGGGACTACGACATGACCCACACAGGTAATTGATTTCTTTTCACTGCAGAAAATATACTAATAGGATGGTCTATATTGAGCATTTTAGTAGAGTATAATTTAATGCATTTTGTATGCTTAAATGATGATAATTGGTTTCTAAACCACACAAGTAACATGAAGTATCTTTGCTTTTTTCTGGTATGCTCTGTTTCTGGCCCATTGATTGTTTTATACCTGTGTATAAACAATTTTCTTTCTGGTAGTCAGCAATGATAGGAAAATTCTTGTTTGCTATAAGGAGTGCTAATGTATTGTTGTGACGTGTGTAGGTGATCCCCGCCAGGACCTGGAGTATGAAAGACACTATGCATCTCACAGCTACATAGTGCCAGAAGTCATCAAGAACTTCCTGCTTTTCTTTCAAAAGTGTATCAACCAACAGGACCTCCTGGAGATTCAAAACTCTTATGAGAATGGGTGGGTTCTTAGTTAGATGTTGAGCACTTCTGTCTTGTGCTTGTTTGTTATCACATTTTTTATTTATTTGTAGTTTCATCAAGTTGACTGATAGGTTAGTTTATTTTACTTTTACAGCTTCCACAAGTTGACTGATAATTGTTTTGTTTATTTTACAGTTTCAACAAGTTGACTGATCGCTTTTTTAAGAACTCGGCATGGCCAGAGGCTGAAGTTGTTGCTCCCATTGTGGGAAACGGTAAATGTCTTGTGGGGGACAAGTTTTCCCACTTTCCTGTTTTTCCTTTTTTTTTTTCATTTTAAAAATACATTTTCATCAGATGCAGACTTAATTTAATTTTATGACGTCAAATTTCTGAAGTAATACCTTTTAACATTTTTTGTCCTCAGATAAGCGATTCCTTATTTTGTATAAAGAGCTCTACTACAGACATGTTTATGCCAGAGTTTCAGTGAGTAGAGTAGTGGAGTATGGTCATACATTTGATTAAAATCAGTTGATTCTTGAGTCTAATGTTTGAATGCAATGGTTGAGTATTTTTTTTTTCTATAAGGGTGGCCCTACACTAGAACAGCGTTTTGAGTCTTACTACAACTACTGCAACCTGTTCAACTATATTCTTAGTAAGTTCATTTTTATTTGGACACATTTGACCAGTTTTGGTTGTTCATTCTTTCAGGCAGCAAAACAACATAGTATGTAGAACAGGAAATCTGTAATCATTGTCCCAGAAGCTTTTGTTAAAAGAAAGCAAGCATTTTTAGGGCCATTTTGTGTTTAAAGACGCAGCGTCATAATTTCCCATTCTTTGTTGACTATAATGCATGGTTGTTGTTTTTTTTTTTTACTGAGGATGGTTTCATTTATCTTTGAACACACGATTTTTATGTCACTTTATATGGGCATTCTTTGGTGATAATTATTTGTTTATTACAGTTAGTACAAAATGAAGTAAATGTTTTGTTCTAGATGTAAGTTTGATTAGGAAAATGCAATTTGTTGTGAACTCAGGTGAATGTACAAGATTCATCCATAGCTGATAAATTGCAACATTAATTTAAAGGTCAACGAAGACAAAAGCCTTCTATGGTTTCTTGTCTAAAGTAGCCTTGATACATTGTATGTGTTAATCTATGGTTAATTTATGTTAATCTATGATGTGCAACTGTATTTGGATTATTATTTTTTTAAGATGCAGATGGGCCTGTACCACTTGAATTGCCTGACCAATGGCTTTGGGACATTATTGATGAGTTCATATACCAGGTATATAGATGCTAATAGTTGTTTTAGATAGACAATTTCATCCACTACAAATTTCTTGGTCTTATTTGATAGTGTTAGCACTGCAGATGACAAGAGGATTGTTTTCTTGACTGTTTTTATTGTATCTGTCCCATAGTTCCAAGCCTTCAGTATCTTTAGACACAAAACTGGAAGTAAGAGGACTGAAGATGAGATAGAGTTACTCAGAAGTAACCCTAAGGTGGGTACCCTTCTTATCACGCCCCACCCCTATTGTTGTTGCTTGACTAGCTATGTACATTGTTTTTTATTGATCATGTAGATCTGGAATGTACACAGTGTGTTGAATGTGCTACACTCCCTTGTGGAGAAATCAAACATCAACAAGCAGCTGGAGGTCTACACAAGTGGAGGTAAGGTTCTGTCCTGGTTCATGATGCTGCCATCATAGAAAGATCATTGTTGTCATATAGAGATAAAAAATTGTTCAATGTGTTAAACAACATAGCTCCTTCTTCTGTAATCAACTTGTAAATGTAAGATGTATCTTTGCTGATTGTTAGTCTGTGTTGTGTAATAGTTTCAACTTGTAAATGTAAGATGTATCTTTGCTGAATGCTAGTCTGTGTTCTGTTATAAAGTTTCAACTTGTAAATGTAAGATGTATCTTTCCTAATCGCTTTGTGTTGCTCCAGGGGATCCTGACAGTGTGTCTGGAGAGTTTGGTCAGAACTCCTTGTACAAGATGTTGGGATACTTCAGTCTTGTTGGTCTGCTCAGGCTACACTCCTTGCTGGGGGACTACTACCAGGCCCTCAAAGTTCTGGAAAATATTGACTTCAACAAAAAGGTAGCCTTCATTCTATGCTAGCGGGGGAGGGTGGGATATGTGCTGTAGAATTGTTTTTCCTTTCCATGATAATGGTAACCAGGAGACCAAGCATCATCACCATCCTTCTGTCTTCAGAGCTTGTATTCCAGAGTGCCAGCTTGTCAGATCACCACATTCTATTACGTGGGATTTGCCTATATGATGATGCGACGCTATCAAGATGCTATACGTACATTGTCCAACATACTTTTGTACATCCAGCGTACTAAAACTATGTTCCAGAACAAAGCACAGCTCTATGACCAGGTAAGTTGCAGATACTGTTCAAATGTGACTTTTTAGATACACAACTCTATGACAATCTAAGTTTATGACAAATTTAGTTACAGTGATAACGGGTGACTTGTGTGTTTATACAATAGTACATTTGTGTACACCTTATTCCCCAGATCACCAAGATGAACGACAAAATGTACACTCTGTTGTCCATTTGTCTGGTCCTGTACCCCATGAGGATTGATGAAAGTGTACATTCTCATTTGAGAGAAAAGTACCAAGATAAAATGAACAGAATGCAGAAAGGGTAAGAACCCAGTTGTCAGCTATGGCAGTCTATTATCATTTGACTAAAGTTTATCTATGGCTCTCTTTATATGTGCCAAGTTAATCTAGTCCTATCATATGGTGGTCTCATTATTAATTACCATTTATTTTAAATGTCATGTGTTCCACATTATTATTTTCCTGCTTTCAAACCATGAGAGCTGTAACAGTTACCTCACATAGCTGTTTTGTTAAGCTGTATTGAATTGAAGTAAAAACTAGCTTGACTGATTTCTTTTTGACTGTATTGTTTAGAGAACTCCAGGAGTTTGAAGCTTCTTTCTCTTTTGCCTGCCCCAAGTTCTTGTCACCTGTTCCTCCCAACTATGATAGTGAGCTGACACCAGCACAGGCAAAGGTACTCTAGACTTTTTTTATGTTAAAACAATGCATGCTAGAAAATCTGTCAAGTGCCTGGACATGTCTTGTAGTGTTTTATTTAAAATGTGCATATACACTCCCTTTGTTGACATTTTCTCTTGTTTGAAGTTTATATTATCTACATTCCTCAGGAACCCTACCAACTCCAACTTTTAGTATTCAAAGATGAGGTTCAACAACAGATTCAGATACCTACTATTCGAAGGTATGAAGATGTATTTCATTTGACTGTTTATGTATCTGTAGTTCAGTTAAATTTTTATTTTTGGTTAGTTTTTGTTGTTTTTACTTGACATGACTTGTTTGAATATTTCCAGTTACTTAAAGTTGTACACAACACTACCTATCTCTAAGCTTTCTGCCTTCATGGAAATGGTAAGTCCATACATTTCACTACTAAATGTACTATACATAGTGTTAGCGTTTGAAGACTTTTGATCAAATGTATTTCATTTCAATTCTTTCAGAGTGAAGAAGATCTCTGCATGCATTTGATGTGCTTTAAGGTAGGTTTATTTGGTTGTATTAAATAAACTGTAAATAAGTTTTCTTTGCATTAGTTAAATCTTTTTGTACTGTAACAATACTTTGATTCCACAGCACAAAATGAAGAATTTAGTTTGGACAAAGGGAACCAGTGGACTGGAAGGAGAGTTTCAATCTGCTTCAGAAGTGGACTTTTATATTGATAAGGTAGCCAAATTATTTGCTGAACTAATTCCACCATTTTAAAAAATGTGTAGCCCACCCTTACACCTTTTCCTTACATGGTATTAAAATAAGTAACATCTATTCCAGAACATGATCCATATAGCTGACACCAAGGTTGTAGCCCACCCTTACACCTTTTCCTTACATGGTATTAAAATAAGTAACATCTATTCCAGAACATGATCCATATAGCTGACACCAAGGTTGTAGCCCACCCTTACACCTTTTCCTTACATGGTATTAAAATAAGTAACATCTATTCCAGAACATGATCCATATAGCTGACACCAAGGTTGTAGCCCACCCTTACACCTTTTCCTTACATGGTATTAAAATAAGTAACATCTATTCCAGAACATGATCCATATAGCTGACACCAAGGTTGTAGCCCACCCTTACACCTTTTCCTTACATGGTATTAAAATAAGTAACATCTATTCCAGAACATGATCCATATAGCTGACACCAAGGTTGTAGCCCACCCTTACACCTTTTCCTTACATGGTATTAAAATAAGTAACATCTATTCCAGAACATGATCCATATAGCTGACACCAAGGTTGTAGCCCACCCTTACACCTTTTCCTTACATGGTATTAAAATAAGTAACATCTATTCCAGAACATGATCCATATAGCTGACACCAAGGTTGTAGCCCACCCTTACACCTTTTCCTTACATGGTATTAAAATAAGTAACATCTATTCCAGAACATGATCCATATAGCTGACACCAAGGTTGTAGCCCACCCTTACACCTTTTCCTTACATGGTATTAAAATAAGTAACATCTATTCCAGAACATGATCCATATAGCTGACACCAAGGTTGTAGCCCACCCTTACACCTTTTCCTTACATGGTATTAAAATAAGTAACATCTATTCCAGAACATGATCCATATAGCTGACACCAAGGTTGTAGCCCACCCTTACACCTTTTCCTTACATGGTATTAAAATAAGTAACATCTATTCCAGAACATGATCCATATAGCTGACACCAAGGTTGTAGCCCACCCTTACACCTTTTCCTTACATGGTATTAAAATAAGTAACATCTATTCCAGAACATGATCCATATAGCTGACACCAAGGTTGTAGCCCACCCTTACACCTTTTCCTTACATGGTATTAAAATAAGTAACATCTATTCCAGAACATGATCCATATAGCTGACACCAAGGTTGTAGCCCACCCTTACACCTTTTCCTTACATGGTATTAAAATAAGTAACATCTATTCCAGAACATGATCCATATAGCTGACACCAAGGTTGTAGCCCACCCTTACACCTTTTCCTTACATGGTATTAAAATAAGTAACATCTATTCCAGAACATGATCCATATAGCTGACACCAAGGTTGTAGCCCACCCTTACACCTTTTCCTTACATGGTATTAAAATAAGTAACATCTATTCCAGAACATGATCCATATAGCTGACACCAAGGTTGCTCGCAGATATGGAGATTTCTTTATCAGACAGTTTCATAAATTTGATGAGGTAACTACGACTTTGTATTAATCTGGATTACGTTTACATTTCCTTGTCTTTGTCAGGGATGTGGCTTTTCCGAATTTTTTGCAGAAATCCAATTTTTCAGTTTCAGCTGCAATTTTCCTTTGTTGATTTAATTTTCTCCAAATTTTTCCCCCTGCTTTGACTGTTGCACTGGGTCTGCTGGTGCTAGATTAAGATTTAATGTAGATCTAGTTCGAGATTCAGAGTTTGCAGAATCTCTGAATTTTTCAGAATGCACATTTTTAAGTCCAAATTTTCCGATATTTTCAGTTCAATATTTATCACAATCGCTGAAAACCGTTATTTAAAATAATGCTGCTCTTTAATGAAACTTATATCTCCTAACCCATGTTTCTTTACCGTTAATCTTGCATGATCAAAGTCTAGCTATCGCTTTAGCTTTATTTAATTGTCGGTATTTTAACCCCCCCCCCCCCCCAATCTGCTGTTTCTCTCTACTTCTATTTTAAATTGCAACTCCAAATTAATATTGAAATCCTTGCAAAATTTGACTTTGAGGACTAGATCAACCCATCTCTCTTTGTAGCAACGGTGGCTCTTGTGATCTCACCATGAACCCAAGTTCGTGTTTGGTACTGCTTGTACAGGGAAAAATAAAAATGACCTCACAGCCAATCTCAAATTGCTATGTTCTTGCAAAACATATTCTAAAGGCCTACTGATTTAAAAACTAATGCGAACTCAACATGACCCCAACCCTGTCTTGTTTGTGGAAGAAAAAATGCTATATGGATTTTTAATAAGGGGCCTTCCATAAATAATGTCACTCTGGTACCGAGGGGGGGGGGTGCTCAGATAGTGTGATGTCATACCTGTGTATTTTTAAAAAGTAATAGAAACTGAATTCTAGCAGCTATTTCCCGTTTTAGAAAATTGTTTGAATACACTATTCACTATGGGGGAGGGGGTCGGCTGAGGTGTGACGTCATTTTCGTGGGGAGTCTGTCTTTTGTGAAGGAGGTAAGGGGAGGTTAAAATCGACAAAAATAAGCGGTGAAGTCATGACCCCTAACAATCTACAGCTATTCCAAAAGCATAAATAACGATGTGGCTTGGCTATCAAAATGGTAAATTTGGTTCAAATATCTAATTTAAGCTAATCTGGTCGATTCTAATTTTAGCTAATCTGGTAGATTCTAATTTCAGCTAATCTGGTCGATTTCATTTTCCATCACATGAACCAAAAATTTCAAATTACAATTAATCTAAATCTAGGCTTTTTAAAGTTGAAGACTTACATTTTTACAATGGCAATCTTTTAAAGAATATAATTCCTAATTTAAATGTAAACAAGAGTAGATCTATACTAGATTAGTACAATTTAAATTAGCTTAATGTTAAAAAAGAAAGTTGCCACTTTTGTTACATTGTAAAAAAAAATAATAATTTAGAGTTGTTTATAAGGTTAACATGAAATTGCAATTCAAGACTTTCAATGTTATTTTAGAGTAATATAAACTTCTTTAATTAAAATATTAGCTATTTAGAACAATTAATTAGCACTAAGTACAGTAACAGTGTGCAACTGCTTTAATTGCGATAAAACATGGCGTTCTTGTCCGAAATTTTTTTCCCCATGGTTTGGTCACATCCCTGTTGTTGTTTTAATCTGGACTAAGTTTACATTTCCTAGTCTTTAATCTGGACTAAGTTTACATTTCCTAGTCTTTAATCTGGACTAAGTTTACATTTCCTAGTCTTTAATCTGGACTAAGTTTACATTTCCTAGTCTTTAATCTGGACTAAGTTTACATTTCCTAGTCTTTAATCTGGACTAAGTTTACATTTCCTAGTCTTTAATCTGGACTAAGTTTACATTTCCTAGTCTTTAATCTGGACTAAGTTTACATTTCCTAGTCTTTAATCTGGACTAAGTTTACATTTCCTAGTCTTTAATCTGGACTAAGTTTACATTTCCTAGTCTTTAATCTGGACTAAGTTTACATTTCCTAGTCTTTGTTTTAATCTAAGTAGTCATTGTGTCAATATACCTCTGTTTTTTATGTACTTTTTTGTTTTGTTTTTACTCATTTAAATTAAACAATTAAATGTTGAATGACATTCCTGATTCTATATTCCTTGTATATTTCAGATAATGCGTTCTTTAAAGACTGGATAGAGCTGGTTCATTTTCAGTATACAAGTTTTTTTATTTCTGAAGTGATCGTAACTTTTCTTGTTTGATGGTAATTTTTTTTTAGAATTTTATTTTAGTAATGGACTCAGCACACAGGGAAGTGAATATTTAAATATGTAATGAATGATCTAAAGTTGTCTGGTTGTCTTGGTGATGTATCCCTGTGTGGCTGCCCAATCTGTTAAACCTTGAGGCGTTTATCAGCAGTCTTCTAAAATCTGTTCTGGTGTGGTTATATTTTAAATACCAGACAAAGCATCGGTTGACTACTAATTTATCATTTTAAAAAATTACATCTATTTTCATTTCACCTAAGGAAATAAAAAAATACATTTAGTTTTACATTGGTTTTTGTTTTATAATTCTTGTCAAAAAATAAAGTGGTTAGTAGTTGTTGTATTTAATTTAACAGAAGTGTACTACATTTGACATTTCACTTGAGGCCCACTTGAGAAGCTGTCTAGGCTATTAAGTGCCACACCGGGTGACACCCGGACCTCGCTACGCCACTGGTACTGTGGAAGTTAACTCAGTTATTATGGTATAGCACACACTAAGGACCTGTTGTTAACGCTTTAATTAATTTAACCTAACTACTGTTAAAACTTAGCATGTAGTAGTAAGAACAAACATCTTGGATAACTCTGAGCTGATGTTAAAGGAAATAATACATGGTTGACTTAGAAAGGGATAACCACGTCAGCTAATTGTGTGTGGAAAATTTAAAAAAAAAATTCTGGATAACAAAAATACTGCAAAAACGGCACACAAAAAAACTTCATTAAACTCAAGTCACAAAGGCTATACTGGCCATATATAATTTACAACAAAAATATATAGCCCAAGTATTTATGTTAGTTAAAGTTGATTAATATACCACAATAACTAAACCTAAATCATAGTTAGTGATTATAAAAATAAAGCCACACAATAGTAAGTGCTGCTTTGTAGGCCATGTTATATATATATAATAGGCCTATATATATATATATATATATATATATATATATATATATATATATACTAGCCTTCGGTACCTGTCATATTCAATGAGACTGTTTTACCGGGAGACTTAAGTCTCTACAGAAACTGTATTGTCAGTGGTCCTTTTGTCGGGAGCTAAATTGACTGGAGCCAGTTTGTCGTAAGCCAAAATGACGGGAGCCTATTTGTCGGGAGTCTTAATGACGGGGGCTGTTATGTCGAAAAACTAAATGACGGGAGCCTTATTGACTGGAGCCCTTAAATCGGAAGCCTATATGACGGGTCCATATGTCGCTGGCCCTTTTGACGGGACTCTTATGTCGGGGGCGATTTGACGGGGCTGTTTTGTCGTTGGCCGTTTTGGAATTATAGGCCTATATATTTTCTGTTATACTTTTTTGAGAAAACTAATTTATAAAATAGTTATTGGTCAAAACGTTATGTGCATGATATTTGTGACAAAGCAAAGAAATAGCTAAAAATCCGACACTTTTAATACAACATAGGCTACCAATGCCAAATAGAAAAATTAAAACCAAATATACATTATTAGTCAACAAAACACTTCAAATTTAAATGCACACACTGATTTGCCTGAAAGAAACTCTACATGCGACTTTTGTCATGAATGAGATTAGGTGCATGGTTTAGGGATATGCCTATGACTATATTTTGTATAAATTAAAGTACCGAGAAAATAGACAGCACTATCAACCTAGCGCCCGTTGTATCTTTCCTCAACGGGCCATTTTTCTCGTAGAATAGAATCTTGTAAAAGTTAACAGCAAACAATATGTGTATAACTGCGGAATATAAGTAGTTTAGAAATTCACTAGCCATGGGTACCCGTTTCACGTGAATTATAGGCCTATATATTTATTTTCTCGTATACACGAAGTATAGAGAAAGTCTTGTAATCGTGCAAAAAAAAATCGAGATTTTTGCAAATCTCGACGTTTACAGCTTCCAGAGTCAGAAAACATAGTTTTGCAATCTTGTCCGTATATGTGTGTGTGTGTGTGTGTGTCTGTAAACACGATAACTTGAGTACCGTTACAGCTAGGTTGATGAAAATTCTTAAATAAGTATTTTATCAAAATCGTAGATCCTTTTCAACTTTTGAGCGATTTCCGATAACCGGAAGTGGAACTTTTTCTATTTTGAATTATCCAAAAGCCTTTAACTTAAGTACTATTTCAGATAGATAAATGAATTTTCATGTAAATAAAAGATCTAATTCTCTGCCTTCTGTCAAATTTTAAGTAATTTCCGTTGACCGGAAGTAGTAATTAACGCTATTTCCGATCTCTCAAAAAACGCATGTGAATTTATAAAGTACTAATAATATTCCGCACTATTATGCACATTTTGTTTGGAGTTCACTTGGTGTGCAATTCTTTTTTCTACGAGATTCTATTCTATTTAAAAAAAAATTAAGTATTTAAAATAGATTAAAAATCATGTCTATATCCCGAGTTGCCATCCCCTGTTGTTTTATATTAGAATATTCGAGAAAGTTTAGGGGAGATCACTCCCGGTTTATTTTACAGTTATGCTTATTTGGAAAAACACTGTGCTTTACTACACGTTGAACGATGTTAAAGACAAAGCAAAGATATAGTCTAACCAAACAGTAAAAATTCTACACATTTAAAATAACTATGGCTAAAAATAGTCAAATACCTATTCAAAAAAATTAAAACCAAATTATATACATTATTAGTCAACGCAATACCATTTTAAATGCACACACTGATTAAGATACTAAAATGATTCCGTTAAAAGACCTGGCTGTTCAATGGTCATTAGCGCAATTTCCATTCTGGGGAATTGCGATTATTAACTCGTCATTTCTGGGAATGGATGGATGTCCACAGCTTTAAGTCGTATCTCCTCCTCAACGAAACAATATCGAGGACTAGTTCCAAAGCAAATGTGTTAAGCAAGTTCCGAGGATGATTGTGGGCCAAAAAAATTCCCGGAATTCCTTCCTGGATTTCCCGGAAAAGCCAAAAAACCTCGAACAAATGCAGTTTTTGCTCCATATCTCGGCAACCAGACCACTTAGCGACTTGAAACATTTACCAATCGATTCCTGCCATAATTTAGACCAATATTGCCGAAGAAAGTTTTCAAAAATATCCTTTCGTTCGGTCACAAAAAATTAATTAAGAACATTTAAACTGAGCGTCTTGTAGGCCTATGATGATTTAAACTGAGCATCGCGTAGGAGTTTATATTTATAGGATGATATTTACAAAAAATTAAAAATTGTTATGGATAACATAAGGAAACTGCGCTTAAATTGTCACTTGACTTTTTATTAACTTGTTTTTTTAAAAAGTAATTTGTATTAGTATGACCGAGAAAATTGTATACACATTCGAATATTGCTTTAATTTTCTTTTCTTTCTGTAAATACAACTACGAATTTGATGTAATACTTATCAGAGGCGTAGCGACCCTTCCCGGCGCCCGGGGACAAACTTTTCGATTTGCATCCCCCCCCCTCAAGATTTCGATTTAAACCCCCCCCTCAACCTTTCAATTTATTTTTTCAACCCATTTTGGCGCCCCCTAAGGTCGGCGCCCGGGGACATATGTCCCCCCCCCCCTCGCTACGCTATGATACTTATATATGAAATTTCATCAACCTAGATGTAACGGTATTCAAGTTATCGTGATCACAGACATACATAAATACATGACGCCACTCTCGTAGGGTGGGGGGAGTGTAATTTTGTGACGGTGTGTGATGAGTGGGAAGGGGTTCAGATGGTGTGACGTCACACTTTTGTATTATAAAAAAAACAATGTTAGCGAATTTTAGCCGTTATTTCGCGTTTTAATAAATTGTAATAGACATTGATTAAAACACTCTGTTGAAAGAGTTAAGACAAGATTTGGGAAATATTATGCTGTTTTAAGAAAAATTCAACTGCAATTTTGAGGGGGGGGGGGGGTGACGTCTGACGTCATTTTAGGGGGGGGGGGTGTCTGGCTTTTTGTGACGATGTGTGACGAAGGGGAAGGGATGAAAAAAGCGTGACGTCATTTATTGATTACCTCTAAACTGTCTCACAGTTGGCTGATTTCTTGCCCTATCGTTAGAGTAAATATCAAAATTTTAGAGATAACAAGATGGATTTCAACGCAAATATTGTTAGCCTAGCTTATATAGCGTCAACATCAGTTTGAACAATATTTTGGAGTAGGGAGGGTAGAAAAGAATTATCATTTTTTTTCCTACGAATTTTCCTCTTATTGCGAGACAATGGAATAAAATTAACAGAAATTCATGCCTAATACTAATACGTTAAAAAGATCTAGATATAGATCTAGTAACTAAATACAAAAGTTGAATAAAAAACAAATTTTGTCTTAGATTGTTTTACTAAATATTTTGTTGTAAAGTTTTTAATGCAATTTGGCCGGAAATCAGCATTTGGATACTCCGGCCATCTTGCATTTGGAGTGTGCACATATTGTTTAAAAAGTCGCTTGTGATTAACAAGTTACTAAAATGACTGCCCATGATCAAATTCGAGCTATGCTCGATGAACTTATGGGAACGACACGCGATGGTAGGTTGTTTGAGGGAAACAAGGACCTTTGTAAATAGTATTAGAAACAGAAATAAATCTACTTAGTACTTACTAGGGTTGTCGGCATCCGCCGAGTTCGCGGTAAAAACATGACCCGAAATCGCCCATTACTTTCTGATACCGGACCCACGAGATTTGGTTTTGCATACTAATAAGTTTTTAATTTATGGTAATTAATTAAGTTTAAAAGGTCATTTCCTAAGGTTAATTAAAAAGTAGAGTGGTTGTCCCTTAGTTTTAATGGCTTTGCGACCTGATTGCATGCTGTCTCTGCTTTGGTCTTCCCCCTGTATCAAGGTTAGTTTCAAATACGTTGGAATCTCGATTTTTTAAAAGATTCCTCTAGATGAGAGTAGATTACTGATCAGACATATCTTAAGTAATTGGAAATGAAATTTGTTTTTGGATATTTTGACTCCGACATTAGTTATACCCCTCCGAACGTAGACACTGTATGTAGGTCACGCTGCCACCATTGTTATATTTTTTCATCCCGATCTTCCTGCCTTTAAGTTTGGTCCACTAATAACAGCAATCTTATGGCATGTGCAAACAAATCTAATTTTTTATTTCAAAATATATTTACATACCCATCTTTAATTTTTTCAGCTCTAGTTCTAGTTTTCTAGAATATGTTTTTCCTAAAAATCCAATTTTGTCAGACTAGACTCTAGACTGACAAGAGTCAGACCTAGATCTAGATCTAGGTTACCTGTCTGTTGCTATACACTAACATTGTGCTAACTGTAATTTTAAGTATTCAAGTTCTACTTACCCTTAGATATAGTTATATGCTGAAAATCAGAATCCATACACAATTCACACATAAAAACATTGATCTGATAACTTCATTTCACTTATTACAAAATGGCTTTTGTATGGACTCTACTTCACCTGCCCAAAATAACAAGGCAGTTATAGACACATTACAGTGTTCATGTCATTTACTTTAGATTTCTGACTATGGAGTTCTTTCATTCACTGTATTTATATAAAATATTGCTTTAGAAACATTTTCATATTTGCGCAGCAGTTTTATAACAAAATGGCTTAAAGATGGACTCTACTTCACCTGCCCAAAATAATGAGGCAATTATATGCACATAACAGTGTTCAAGTCATTTACTTTAGATTTCTAACTTTGTAGTTCTTTCATTTGCTGTATTTATATAAAATATGGCTTTAGAAACATTTTCATATTTGCGCAGCACACAGTTTTTTGGGGTTATGGGAGGAAGCCAACACAAAAATATAAGTTCTGTATTATTTTTATTAATTTCAACAGCATTTACAAGTTCTATATATCATTCTAGTTAAACTCTGCAAATATGAACAAAATACAACTGCAAGTAAAATAACTATGCTCAATTTATTCAGGTATACCATGATTTGTCACAATTGGCCAATGCAAAAGCAAGGGGATTCCACCCCTCACAAAAAAATTCGCCAAAAAAAAACTATTTGAGCTAGACAGAAAATCTTTTTTGTTTTGTTTTCATATAGTTGAGCTCTACAAGAATATGTAATTTTTATTTTTATATGATGATTAGTGTTTTTTTACCTAAATCCCTATACTTACACACTCACTCATGTCATTCAAGCAAGATCGATCAGTGATCAAGGCAGAAAAAGAAGTCAGCGAGGAATCTTATTGAAAAAATAAATTCTAGATCTAGATTTAGATATTTTATAGAGGTAGATATCTTATCTAGGGTAACCTACATTAGAGTGAACACATATCGAACACTTCGCCGGGGTAATTCTCCGCCTCTTGTTTACCTCCAGTTGAGCGTATTTTATTAGCCTATATTTTCCCACGTTTTCTTTAACTTGCTTTCTCTGTGGGTTTATTTGTTTGTCTTTCCAATCAAATCTTGCGATCGAAATTTCTGGCACTTCCCAGTTAGCTAGCGCGCTGAAATTTTCAGGGAAGCTTTCTTTTGGATGACCATTGAATATTCAATTGTTATTATTACTAAATTGATCAATGGAAACATTTTATTGAGCATTTTAGACCGCTATATAATCTATATATATAATTCTCCTCTGCTAGCCATTAGAAAAAAAAACCAGCGACGCGTACCTCGCGCGCAGTGAAGCGAACGATCACATGTCGCCACAGGCTTAGGGGCAGAGAATTTAGCTTGAACCGAGTTTAAAGTTACAGGAGGTAGGCCAGTTTGGGGGAGACGATATGGTCGAGTGGTTGGGCACACGATTGCTATCCCACTCGACACGGGTTCAAATCTATGTGTTCTAGTCAGTAACGTATTCAAACAACGTGTTTTTTACGAGTTGTCTTTTTACGAGTTGTCTTTTTACGAGTTGTCTTTTTACGAGTTGTCTTTTTACGAGTTGTCTTCGTTTACCCAAAAAAAGTGAAAAGATAAAATCGATAGCAAGATTTTAATGCAAACAAACAGACAAAGACTAAAAAGTAGAAAATAATAATCATTAAAAAAGATTTAAAAAACCCACGTTTTCTGATTGAACTAAAAAGTAGAAAATAAATGCTATAGGCCCTACATCACAATAATGCAAGCGATCACTCTACTATAAGCGAGCAAAAACGTGGGGCGCCGTGATTTTCTTACAGTTTCTAATACTGTTGACTCTCTACAAGCTCCCTAATAAAAGTCAATAGTATTATCTAATCAATAGTAATATAACTTTTACTTCGGCGCCCCACGTTTTTCATCGCTTATAGTAGAGTGATCGCTTGCATTATTGTGATGTAGGGCCTATAGCATTTATTTTCTACTTTTTAGTTCAATCAGAAAACGTGGGTTTTTTAAATCTTTTTTAATGATTATTATTTATAATAACCGAAACACACCAAAACATTAGGAAAACACGATTTATTTATTTATATTGTATTATTTGTTTTAACAAATGAATAAAAAAATAAAGAGACTGACTTTGTTTTAGAATTTTAATGGCAATGGGTGAAGTACGTAAACGTAACTCACAATTGCAAGGCGGTTAAGTTTTTATTGTTACAAGTATTTCCCAGGCATGATACTAGAGGCTATAAATAAACATTTATGAACTTACAATGACCCCAAAACTGAGGCCAACACAATTTCAAACAGCTATTGCCCGAGCTGTGCTAATTAGGCATAAAGTCAATGTGAACTCACGGTAACCCCCGCGATCTTATAAGGATTTTTCTCCTGCTGACGATCACACAATATTTAATCGGAACTGTCCTAATGCTTTTTATGTTGTTTTTTTACCTTTTTTAATTAAAAATCACATTCATAAAAAAATAAGTAGATCTAGTGTTTTCCTAATGTTTTTGTGTATTTCGGCTGTGTTTATAATAAACAACTGGAGGTGAAGTGGGGAATAAAATACGCTAAAATGGAGTTTTACCCTTCGTCGGTATTCGGCTAATAGAAACTTCATTAGCATGGGTAATCATCATTTTAGGTGCGTAAAATCTGCTGAGGCTAGTTTTTATTTTACAAACTATAGGTGGTAGGGCTAAATATGCCAGAAAAGCATTTTAAAATTTGCTTTGGAGAATGAAGGCTAAATGCAAAAGTTGGTGTCATTAAAAATAATAGGCCCCTATGCTAGAACTTTTTAAATATCAACCCGGGAAGTAGGCTATAAAAATGAATTGGAGTCTGTAGAACTATTAGTTTTATCAGTCTATGAAAAAAAAATCAAAAAGGCCTATTGCAAGCCACTTATTTATAAAACACTACATTTGAATGCCAACCAAATGAATGTATTTTTTAAAACAACGTGACCTCTATTTGGTGATCACTAGTTAGGAACTCTGGGGCATAGCCAATTAAAAAGTCTAACCGGATTCGTGATTTGCCTTTGCTTCAAACGTAATAGTGATATTACGTGTTGTCATCGAGAGGTGTGTCATGCATGGCATTGAGTGACAATAAATATTTAATTAGGCCTAAGTAATTTCATTTAAAATGAACTAAAAACTTCAAAATTAGTGCCTAATGGATTAACTATGGATGTCTATCATTCAGTGGTCATGTTTAAATTGAAAATTGAGTAGCCTAAATTTAAGATTTAGTATAAAAATGTAGATCTAGATATTGTGATATATTTGTGTCAAATATTAAAGGCTAGATAACTGAATAATAAAAAACTAAAATCAATGGTTAAATATATCAATATAGGCCAGAAATTTACTTTAAACAGCAGTGTTAGGGGGCCTATAGATTCTATATTTAAGACAGTGCCTGAATGATATTGATATTGGCTTTGGAGCATGGGAAAAGCATTTAACTATTCAATTACAGTACAAATAGGCTTAATCAATAACACAATATAAATGCATGTAGGCCTAATCTGTACTTTTATTTGTTCAATTGACTTGAAATTATTCTAACTGAACTAAATTTGCTTTGTTCGCAAGCAAAGTACAGGTGTTTCGAAGACTTGTCAAATTTTGAGAGAGAAAAAGCAACAAAAAAAACTGATAGCACACAAGCTACTACAACAACTCTATATCAGATCCTATGTGTAGGAATACTAAATGAAACATTATTACAGTAGAATGGTTGCAGAGTATTATGGTACTTTCGTTTTTATTCTATTTCAAATAGTTACTCAATGAGAATCAGTTGATTTTTTTTTTACTATGTGTGTTCGCAGATAGTAGGTTACTCTAGAAGTCAGTGAGATTGTGGTCAACAAACGACCAAGCCATGTTATTTTTGTAGTTGGTTTAGGTAAACTCCCTGATTTTACTGCTAGACCTATATATTGCCAAGTAGGTAGGCCCTATGTAATCGACTGAAGCTATTCATGCGGAAAAAATGTGACTCATTAATAAGGTTTTAATACAATTACGCTATTTTGTGATATATTTGCATCAAATATAAGCCTATGCCAAGTTGAATAATAAACCAAATGCAATGTCTAAATATATAAATAGGCCCATAGGCAATAAACAGCGACCATCTGTAAATCAGTGTAAATTAAAATGGTTTCACCAGAAATTCTTACTCCTAAAAAAATAACTTTAAAACCATGGCTGATAAGTTAATAAGCTGGGTTGCATCAGATGAAAAAATGGCTAAACTTTATTACTGAAAATTGTTTAAAACAGGGAGGCCTACAAGAAACATTTTTGTAACTTTTAAAACATAAATCCTTGTAAAATTGCAAAATAATTCCTAAAGTTGAGGCCTAATTAGTTACCTTTCTGTCGCATTACTAGCTTTTGACGATTTTACATACCTTATACTATTACCTTAAGCAAATATCCATTACAAGTTAACAAACCATAAAATTTAGGAAGGCTTTAGTTGATTTAGTGTCATTTAAATAAATGCTTCAGTGTTTAAAAAATGTCAAGTGGTTTTACAAAAAAAAAACAACTATAAAATACAAAATCAATCCAACAAGGAAACTAAAGGAAGTAATTACTATGAAAAATGGCTGCTCTAGCAATATCTCATGAACTAAAAACTTGGATTTGGAAAAATAACTGATTAAATGTAGAAAATAAAATCATACACTGGGAACATTGTTACTATATGGCACTCTGGAAGTGTCACTATGGTCTTAAAGAGTTAAAAGGGATAGAGGATTGGTGTTAATAATTAATCAACAGAGGATCAGTGTAACTAACTAATCACCAGTCTGACTAAAAAATTTCTATTTTCAATTAATGTTACCATAAAACTGCTGGTTAGGATAAGAATATAGCACATTTTATTTTTAGCCTTCACCAAGAGTAAATTATGCCAAATGTGACATGGTATTCAGCAGACTAACTTGTAGGCCAGAGTAGTCAAGTTTGATCCCACCCCATATTTGACGATGATATAGTATTAATGGGTTCTGAAGGAAGTTAAATAGATGGCTTTTTAAAATTGTAATTCCTGGTGAGCTACCAAACCCTTTTACAGATTGATTCGTTCTATTAATAAATAATAAGCCTGAACAATCACTCCAAGAAAAGATATTTTTTATTTTCAAAAGCACGATTTATGCTATGAATTGTTTAAGTGGTTGAGTAAATTATTTGTTTTTTCTTATTTACTATTTAAAAACTTTTGGTAATGTTAAGTTTGTCAGTCATTTGCCATCATTAAAAAAATAATGGGTAAAATTTATATTAAAGTTTCACCATTATTAAGAATTTAAATATTAAAAAAATTGTTTATGTTTTTTTTGCCATAGCTATTTTTATGCAATGTTTATAGTTAGTAATGAGATACATAAGCAGCTGTTGAGCCAAGCGAAACTGTATGTATTTATGTAAATTATGTTTTGAGTGTTGTGTTGGGTCCATGGAGCTGGAGCACAAAAAAAATTGTATGTATTTATCAGATTGCAGCTGCAGCATTCAGGCCAAATATTGATACATTTAGACTGGTACATTTAAAGAAGTTTCATTTAGTTTTTGTAGTCAAACTTAAAGTGGTTCAAAGAATATTGCTTGTAATAATTTAAAAGCTAGTGAAGCTACTTTAAGTTTCCTCTCTGTGAGCGACACACATGTATGTATTACTCCCTAAATAGCCACTTCTAAAATAGATGTACTGACATTTTGTTTTCTCTTCATAAAATCTCATTGACTGTAGGCGATACCGACAAGTATCGAGTGAGGTTTGATGACCCTCGGGTATGTAAGAGCTTCCTACTGAACTGTTGCCCTCATGATATTCTGGCCAGCACGGTGAGTCTTTTGGCAGGTGCACAACTTGCCATCTTTCTAGCAATTCCGCTTAGCAATTATTTTAATTTCATTTTTTTCTCTTCATTCCTCCTTTAGCTTCAAAAATGCTTCTTGGGATCAGGTTGGTGTGTCATTCTGTAAGATACTTTGACATGCTAGGATTGGGTACGTAAGAAACCGTGAGTTGGACCCATTTTGAATCGCCATCTTCTTCTGTTAAAATGCAATGTGTATGATTTATTGATCAAGTGGTGTCTAAATACTTTGGGCTGGGGGTAGTCAGTCATCTTTCTCCAGTAATGTGAAAACAAGTCAGCTGTTCAATTCCCATGGAAAATGTATCTCAAACTATTTAAAGCAGAACTTACAGAACATTGGGGTTTTTGGTGTATCTTTTGTTCAATTATTTTTTTTTTTGCGCCTTTTTTTGAGATAATGCTAATTGACATTGGTGGCAAGAGTTATTTTTAGATGAAAAGAAAAAGGTTTCTGCACAGGTAATCATCAGTGATTATCAGAATTGTTTTCTTTCATTGGCATCTGAAATTGTGAGAGTAAACTGTTATGAAGTTGGACTCAGTATTTTTAATCACATGTTGCATCTTTTTCAGTTCTTAGAAACAAGTCTTGAGATGTCAAAATGAAGTCATTCTCTTCTTTCCTATTCACTTGCCTCAGTTTTCTATTGAGGGAAATTCTTGTCATCTTTTCATTTTCACATTTTCACCATTCTAACTTGAGGTGTTTTTTTTGACATGACAATATGCAATACCATGTTTATTGATTTTAGCTTTTTAATCCACTAGATGAATGGTTTGTTTTTATTATGACATTTTTAAACATTTAATTTATCTAAATCATACAACTGTGTGGTCTTGAAGAACTGTTACTATGTACAGAAGTCCAAACTATTGTCTTTTTTAACATAGCTAATTTTTTGGAGATGTTCAATTTTTCTATTTGCAGCGCATGGACCTTGGAGAGTGTCCCAATGTACATGACTTGGCTCTGCGTGCAGATTATGAGCTTGCCGCAAAAAATAAAGATTACTTTTATGATATTGATGTAAGATTAACTACATCGTTTCATATTTTTATGCACATTTTAAATAAGTACAAATTGAGAAAAAATTGCTTCCAGTATTTGGCCAGTCTACTGCTGTGCCTGCAGCAAGATGAATTGTGATTCTAATTCTAGAAAAACTTTTTTTTTCTAAATCCAGGCTATGGAACATCTCCAAAGCTTTATAAGTGATTGTGATCGAAAGACAGAAGTGGCCAAACGCCGCTTAAAAGAAACACAGGAGGAGCTCAGTGAAGAAGCAAACAGCAAGGTATTGGTTTATTTGATGTGACTGCACTTACAAGTACTTATTTAAATGTACAATATCCTCTTATTGTAACACTTTGATAGATAAAAAAATGTTCGGCATGCTATGAACAATTGCATACATATTTAAATACCTATTTCTGATAGTGTATAAACAGTGGTGTCAAATGTTCAAGCTAGTAAATTGTTGTGTACTTCAGGCAGAACAAATCCATGCCCTGGGTGAACAGATTGGTACTCTGATGGCAAGGGCTGAGGAGATCGGGGCTGCTGGTGAGGTGGAAGAGTCCATGAAAATGTTGGAAGAAGTTGAGGCACTCAAGACAAAGAAGAGTCAGGCTGAGGTAAGACTCAGTTTGTTGAAAGAGTTCCTTGTTACGGGACATAGTTTGTGAGTTTTTATAAAATACGTTTTTGTTCCAATGAGTTCAAAAATGAAATAAAATTGAGCCTGTAATTTTATCTCAACCAGATTGAGTTCAGAAACTCAATGCCAGCTTCAAGTTACCAGCAACAAAAACTGAGAGTGTGCGAAGTTTGTGGAGCATATTTAGGGATCCATGACAATGATCGTCGACTGGCTGATCATTTTGGTGGCAAGTTGCATTTAGGATTCATCACCATTAGAGAAAAGCTGGATCATTTAAAGGTATTAATCATGAGTTAGATACATTTACTAATGTAGCTAAGGTGTCATATATTGTTGGTACCAAAGTTTGGAAAAAATATCTAAAAATAATTTTTAGGCCCTGGTGTCTGACCGCCGAGCTCAAAGAGAAGCCCAGAAGGAGGAGATGCGCCAGAGACGTGAGATGGAGAATGATGCTGATCGTGTGCGCGGTGCAGCTCTGGTAGATCGTAGCCCTAACCGCAAGGGGGGATATGACAGAGGGGATGAGCGTGGGGTGAGAGATCGCAGCAGGGAGAGAGAGTCAAGAAGATCCCGTAGCCGTGATAGACATAGACGCAAGAGAAGGTTGGTAGCAGTTTGTTTGAAATTTCTGATGGCTAACATTCATCAAAATATTTTCTTCATCTAACATTGGCTTATTTTCTAACAGCTCAAGGTCACGAGATCGTAGTTCCAGGAAAAGAACAAAGCGTAGCCGTTCTAGATCTAGGAGGTCACGGTCGAACTCAAGAGAGAGGTATGCTGTATTGATTTCAATGTTTTTATTGCTTTTTACAGGTTACATTTTTCTATAGTCACTTAAAATATTGGTTAGTATTTGTAATTTTTGTACTTATTTGTATCTATAGTAACTGGATATTGGTAATTTTGTGCTTATGGGTATGTGTTCTTTTCCCATAGGAGACGCCGCTCACGCAGTCATTCAAGACGTAAGCATCGCAGACGAAGCCGCTCAGATAGCAGACCACGTAATGAAAGGTCACATTCTAGATCTAACGAAAAGAAAGCAGAGTGAGCTATTGTTTTGTCTCAACATATTTAAATAGATGTACTGAAAAGAATGCAGAGTACGCCATTGTTTTTGTCTTAACATTTAAAACCTGTAAATTGTTGTGGTGAACTGTTGAAAGTTTTCAAGAGTGTTTTCTATTATGTTTGACAGAAACCCTGAGGTTGAAGCAAGTGCAAGAGGTAATGAAGTAAACTGAGTCAAGATTTCAGCAGTGTATATCAAAAGCCATTTGTTTTTAAATATGCATTTTATTCTTATCTTTGTTAGCTGACTTGTCCATTTAGTTATGAAGCAGTTTCAGTTAGATAATTCATTTGGTATGACATTTTGAATGGAATTTTACCCTTATCAGAGTTAGCCCTTGGCATTTAGTTGTTTTTTTTTTAAAGAAAAATACATTTGTTAAAAGAAAGTTTACTGAAATCCAAATTCAGTGGTGTAAAATAAAAGTATTATTTTTTATATTTATTGGTGGTAGGTTTTTCAAAACGTTTAAATACATCTTATTCTAAATAGGTTTGAGTATTATTTTAAAGTATTACTGCCGTTTCCACCTATCTTTTCAGTCTAAAAATGTTTTATGACCATGGTTATCTGGTCCAAACTTGTATCATTTGTTGACCAAGTGTTTTTAACTGCAAAAGTTGTCTTACATCTTGTGGTTTTCTGTTCATGTGAGTATATTTGATAAAAAAAAACAATTGACTGAAATATTTGCTTAGATTAAGCTTGTAAACTTTGTACCCAGTCAATCCGTGGACTGTTTCCTTCAATACATTGATTGTTACCGTAGATATGTCATCATGTACATTTGTTTCAATAAAATTTCGTTTTCTGGCTTGATTTTCATTTCATTTGTGTGTAAGTATACAAATCATGGGGTTATGAAATCACTCCCCCAGAACTACGGTAGAAAAATAAATAGTGGTTGTTAGCTCCTTATACTTCATCATTTATTCTTTTAATATAAAAATGATTGGTGAGATTACGTTTTATTGCAAACAGGCTAAAAAATGTAGGAGTTTTTGACAAAGTTGGGTCTAGTACCTTTTCTGGATATTGCTGAATAGTTATTTATGAGATCTTGCCCACCTAAAGGACGGAAGGAAATTTAATAAAAATCACGCAAAAGTTGTATACAATATTGACGTGCTAATTCGTCAGTCTAACAGAAACTACTCAGGTGATCATGTATGCATGCACAGAGTCTCTGAGAAAATTGACCAAGTTTTTCTTCAGGATGGCTTAAAACGTCGAAATTATCAAAATCGATTTTGATTTTTTTCGCTCGATTACAATAGTTCCTCTATACTCGCTAGGAGATAAAAAAAAATGCTATATTCATGCTATATTCTTGCATGGTCGCCGAAGACCAACTCATTAGCAACGTTTGAACGACATAGGTGCATTAGAAGTGGGACACAATTAGTAAATTGTATGTAAAAAGAAATGAAAAGCTGAGACTATTTGAATCAGCGCATATATGTTATAAAAAATATTTAAAAATGTTCGAATTAAGTCACATCCCACCTAGTAAAGATAGAGCTATTTTGCTAATAATATTATTATTAGCAACATAGCTCTATCTTTACTAAGTGGGATGTGACTTAATTCGAACATTTTTAAATATTATTTATTAACATCATTATTGGAAACTAATGTTTGATTTCCTTAGCACAATACTACATTTCCTCTCAAATATTTGTCCAATAAAATGTCTTATAAAATATTCTGAAACCCCTGTCATAATTAATAGACTGAAAGCACTTTGTTTTAAGGTGTTAGGCTTTATTTTTATTCATGAACATGAGGAAGACTTGCTCCAATGTGGTCTGTTGTATAGAGTAGTCTTGAAGCTGGAGATCTTGTTTAGCTTGTTCCATCAGTTTAAACATCAGGGGCAGGGAGACTACTCCAGATGGGATTTGGAGATGAAGATACGACTCCATTTGACAAAACACCTGTAATTGGAATCAAATCAGTTAAGTACATATTAACATACGTAAGTTAAAGCAATATTCGACGAGGAACTAAAACACTGAAACAAGGGTTCATCAATTGATGACGTCGACAAAAATTTCAGATTTTAGAACCCCCCCCCCCCTTCCACCACATCCACTTTCGGCGGACTCCTATTCCGCCCCCACCTTCCCCTATATGGACGTCCACACAAATTTAATAGACCTCTCAAAAGTAACTATAAATTTTCTATTTCAATAACGTGTATTGTGTACCTATTACACACGGCTTTCATATTTTTGACAATGTATATTATTAGGACTAAATATTGAAAGTAGCTTGCGTAGAGAGAAATAAGTAGGTTTTAAACGTCAATGTATAATTATTATTTTTTAATTTTCAAAGATTTGCCCCATTACCAACCAAAATTGCATTCAAAGTATTAAACCCTTTGTTGAGGGGGGGGGGGGGGGTTAACTCAGTTATTCATTGTACTCGTAACACAGTATTATTTTCTGTACTCGTTGAATGTATTCAGGATGGAGTATTTCAGAAAGTGTGACAACACTTTTTGCAATAATGTTAGAAACTGTTAAAAATAAAGCCGTTGCTTCACGTAGTTAATTTTCTTTAAAACTTCAAATCGCGGTCTATTCATCTCTGTCCCGTTGTTGTATTAAAAATCATGAGCACTGAAGTCTTAGTTGCATTTTTTGCATACACTTTGTACATTTAAATATAGGGTGAGGGGGCGGGGAGGGAGGGTACTGGGTAATTGACATGGGGGTAATTGCGCTAGGGGGGTGGGCGTCGGGGAATTGACGGGGGGAATAGTCATGTTTCCATATATATATATATATATATATATATATATATATATATATATAAAATATAAATATATATATATATATATATATATATATATATATATATATATATATATATATTTTTTTTTTTTTTTTTTTTTTTTTTTTTTTTAGTCCACCTCTTAATACACATTTGTTTAACCGATAAAAGTGAAGTACCACAATCACTGTCAATTGTATTGCTGTTAATGTAAGCAGTACAACCTATTTGAAAGTTAAATGGCGCTTGACTGTGCCGGTGTGTTTTCTCACCTCCGCTGACGTAAAACATTTCTTCAGGTAATCAGTGGCGATGCTAGTACTTCCGCCAGTCTCGTCCTTCACCTTTACAGTCACCGTGTATCCCTGCGCATATTTCGACTTCAGATGCTGGGGGCTGCCCAGGCACATCATTTTCCCCCGGACCATGATGGTCAGTCTTGTGCATAACAATTCGCATTCTTCCATGCTGAAGTATTAGCTCAATATTTATTACAACAAGAGATAATGGTCTTATATATTTTTTTTAGTTCTTAAGTGTACTAAATTTAAGACTAAAATTAATATCCGTCAATATTGCTTGTTCTTCACTAGATTGTACATCCAAGTTATTACTTTATCCTGATTCTTTAAACTCAAAACTTTTCAAAACTTCCGCATTTTATTTAGTTTAATCTTCGCTAAATTCATGGCACCAATCTAAAAATCCAGCTCTTGCTTTTACCACCACTTCCATATACGACAAATCCTTTACTTATTTAGCCAACCGTAATGTGTGAAACATAGTATTGTATGTTCAGCTAAACTTTAACTGTTTCTTCTGACGTTATGTAACAGTTACCTGTGTGAGGTTAGGATTAAGGTAGAACCGAGAGATCTGACGTAGCAGTTACCTGTGTGAGGTTAGGATTAAGGTAGAGAGATCTGACGTAGCAGTTACCTGTGTGAGGTTAGGATTAAGGTAGAGAGATCTGACGTAGCAGTTACCTGTGTGAGGTTAGGATTAAGGTAGAGAGATCTGACGTAGCAGTTACCTGTGTGAGGTTAGGATTAAGGTAGAACCGAGAGATCTGACGTAGCAGTTACCTGTGTGAGGTTAGGATTAAGGTAGAACCGAGAGATCTGACGTAGCAGTTACCTGTGTGAGGTTAGGATTAAGGTAGAACCGAGAGATCTGACGTAGCAGTTACCTGTGTGAGGTTAGGATTAAGGTAGAACCGAGAGATCTGACGTAGCAGTTACCTGTGTGAGGTTAGGATTAAGGTAGAACCGAGAGATCTGACGTAGCAGTTACCTGTGTGAGGTTAGGATTAAGGTAGAACCGAGAGATCGTCACAGTTACCTGTGTGAGGTTAGGATTAAGGTAGAACCGAGAGAACTGACGTAGCAGTTACCTGTGTGAGGTTAGGATTAAGGTAGAACCGAGAGATCTGACGTAGCAGTTACCTGTGTGAGGTTAGGATTAAGGTAGAACCGAGAGATTTGACGTAGCAGTTACCTGTGTGAGGTTAGGATTAAGGTAGAACCGAGAGATCTGACGTAGCAGTTACCTGTGTGAGGTTAGGATTAAGGTAGAACCGAGAGAACTGACGTAGCAGTTACCTGTGTGAGGTTAGGATTAAGGTAGAACCGAGAGATCTGACGTAGCAGTTACCTGTGTGAGGTTAGGATTAAGGTAGAACCGAGAGATCTGACGTAGCAGTTACCTGTGTGAGGTTAGGATTAAGGTAGAACCGAGAGATCGTCACAGTTACCTGTGTGAGGTTAGGATTAAGGTAGAACCGAGAGATCTGACGTAGCAGTTACCTGTGTGAGGTTAGGATTAAGGTAGAACCGAGAGATCTGACGTAGCAGTTACCTGTGTGAGGTTAGGATTAAGGTAGAACCGAGAGATCTGACGTAGCAGTTACCTGTGTGAGGTTAGGATTAAGGTAGAACCGAGAGATCTGACGTAGCAGTTACCTGTGTGAGGTTAGGATTAAGGTAGAGAGATCTGACGTAGCAGTTACCTGTGTGAGGTTAGGATTAAGGTAGAACCGAGAGATCTGACGTAGCAGTTACCTGTGTGAGGTTAGGATTAAGGTAGAGAGATCTGACGTAGCAGTTACCTGTGTGAGGTTAGGATTAAGGTAGAACCGAGAGATCTGACGTAGCAGTTACCTGTGTGAGGTTAGGATTAAGGTAGAGAGATCTGACGTAGCAGTTACCTGTGTGAGGTTAGGATTAAGGTAGAACCGAGAGATTTGACGTAGCAGTTACCTGTGTGAGGTTAGGATTAAGGTAGAACCGAGAGATCTGACGTAGCAGTTACCTGTGTGAGGTTAGGATTAAGGTAGAGAGATCTGACGTAGCAGTTACCTGTGTGAGGTTAGGATTAAGGTAGAACCGAGAGATCTGACGTAGCAGTTACCTGTGTGAGGTTAGGATTAAGGTAGAGAGATCTGACGTAGCAGTTACCTGTGTGAGGTTAGGATTAAGGTAGAACCGAGAGATCTGACGTAGCAGTTACCTGTGTGAGGTTAGGATTAAGGTAGAGAGATCTGACGTAGCAGTTACCTGTGTGAGGTTAGGATTAAGGTAGAGAGATCTGACGTAGCAGTTACCTGTGTGAGGTTAGGATTAAGGTAGAACCGAGAGATCTGACGTAGCAGTTACCTGTGTGAGGTTAGGATTAAGGTAGAGAGATCTGACGTAGCAGTTACCTGTGTGAGGTTAGGATTAAGGTAGAGAGATCTGACGTAGCAGTTACCTGTGTGAGGTTAGGATTAAAGTAGAACCGAGAGATCTGACGTAGCAGTTACCTGTGTGAGGTTAGGATTAAGGTAGAACCGAGAGATCTGACGTAGCAGTTACCTGTGTGAGGTTAGGATTAAGGTAGAGAGATCTGACGTAGCAGTTACCTGTGTGAGGTTAGGATTAAGGTAGAACCGAGAGATTTGACGTAGCAGTTACCTGTGTGAGGTTAGGATTAAGGTAGAGAGATCTGACGTAGCAGTTACCTGTGTGAGGTTAGGATTAAAGTAGAACCGAGAGATCTGACGTAGCAGTTACCTGTGTGAGGTTAGGATTAAGGTAGAACCGAGAGATCTGACGTAGCAGTTACCTGTGTGAGGTTAGGATTAAGGTAGAGAGATCTGACGTAGCAGTTACCTGTGTGAGGTTAGGATTAAGGTAGAACCGAGAGATTTGACGTAGCAGTTACCTGTGTGAGGTTAGGATTAAGGTAGAACCGAGAGATCTGACGTAGCAGTTACCTGTGTGAGGTTAGGATTAAGGTAGAGAGATCTGACGTAGCAGTTACCTGTGTGAGGTTAGGATTAAGGTAGAACCGAGAGATTTGACGTAGCAGTTACCTGTGTGAGGTTAGGATTAAGGTAGAACCGAGAGATCTGACGTAGCAGTTACCTGTGTGAGGTTAGGATTAAGGTAGAGAGATCTGACGTAGCAGTTACCTGTGTGAGGTTAGGATTAAGGTAGAGAGATCTGACGTAGCAGTTACCTGTGTGAGGTTAGGATTAAGGTAGAACCGAGAGATTTGACGTAGCAGTTACCTGTGTGAGGTTAGGATTAAGGTAGAACCGAGAGATTTGACGTAGCAGTTACCTGTGTGAGGTTAGGATTAAGGTAGAACCGAGAGATTTGACGTAGCAGTTACCTGTGTGAGGTTAGGATTAAGGTAGAACCGAGAGATCTGACGTAGCAGTTACCTGTGTGAGGTTAGGATTAAGGTAGAACCGAGAGATCTGACGTCACAGTTACCTGTGTGAGGTTAGGATTAAGGTAGAACCGAGAGATCTGACATTCTGCAGCAGTTTCCAGACTGCTCGTTTAGCGATGACGTCCATGCCAGACGTTGGCTCATCCAGCATCACAAACGGGGGGTTCCCAATCACAGCAAGAGCAATGGACAGTTTTCGCTTGTTGCCTAGACTACAGGTCAAAGGTTACAGGATGTATCAAATCACGAAATTATTTTTTTTTTAAATTGTCGTCTCCGAGAAATGTGTTTAATTGCCAACTTCTAAAACCAAATCATTCTAGAGTTAGCCTGGATATTGTTACCTCCCCTACCTGTAGAACTTGGACTGTTTGTTAGCGTGAGCATCCAGCATCAGAGCGGTGATTAGGTATTCGATTACGGCGTTTAGTTCTTGTTCAGCGATCCCCCTAAAACGCCCGAATAGGTACAGAGATTCCCTGGCTGTCAGGTCTCCGTGGAGGTAATCGTATTGCGGGCAGTAGCCAATCATTGTATAAATCTGCCAGTATTATAGTATATGTATAAGTGTGTATGTATAGGTGAACATGTATTTACATACACATGTAACATTTGAATCTGTATAAAGCTTGAGATATATATATGTATGTATATATATATATATATATATATATATATATATATATATATATATATATATATATATATATATATATATATACGAGAAAAATGGCCCGTTGAGGAAGGATACACCGGGCGCTAGGTTGATAGTGCTGTCTCTTTTCTCTAAACTAAAACCAACCCACCCACCCCCACACACACACCACCCCCCACCCCCACCCCACCCCCCACCCACACCCACACACCCACACACCACCGGACACTGGAAAAAGTATATAATTATATTTCGTTGAATGGGACGGTAGACATGATTTTTTTGGGAGTGGGGGTGGGGGGTGGGGGGGGGGGTGGGGTGGGGTGGGGGGGTGGGGTGGGGTGGGGTGGTTTCCTCATCGATACTCTATGAGAAAATTACCACCTAATTAATGTGTTTAATCTAAAAAGTGGTTTTCTCGCAATTTCTTTAATGCAATTCTTCGGGTAGTGGCTAAGCGCGACACCAGTGTTTCTTTCAGACTTTTTCCTCACCGGAGAGGGGTGGGGGGTACTTGAAATTTTCGGGGGCGGGGGTAGAATTTTCGGGGAGGGGGCGGACACTGGAAAAAGTATATAATTATATTTCGTTTAATGGGACGGTAGACAAGTTTTTTTGGGGGGTGGGGGTGGGGGTGGGGTGGGGGTTGGGGGGGAATTGGTGTGTGGGGTGGGTGGGGGGTGGGGGTGTGTGTGGGGGTTGGGGCTGGTGTGTGTGGGGGTGGGGCGTGTATGGGGGGGTGGGGGTGTGTGTGGGGTGGGTGGGGGTGGGGGGTGGGGTGGGGGTGGGGGGTGGTGTGTGTGTGGGGGTGGGTTGGTTTTAGTTTAGAGAAAAGAGACAGCACTATCAACCTAGCGCCCGGTGTATCCTTCCTCAACGGGCCATTTTTCTCGTATATATATATATATATATATATATATATATATATATATATATATATATATATATATATATATATATATATACATACATATACATATACTGTTTACATAAGCCAAAATGTATATATATATCCTGTACTGACTTGTAATTTATGTGAGCCTAGTGCTAGACCACTCAGATATATCTGGCCGGATGTATTATTCAATTCTCCTATGAGCATCTTGAAGGTCGTTGACTTCCCAGCGCCGTTCTGCCCGAGCAAACCAAAGCATTCGTTTTTCGGTATGCCCAGACTGGTGCCCTCCACAGCTGTGAAGACTCTGGTGCAGACCATAAACTTTTTGCACACCTTATCCAGAATTAGCGCATCTAATTTGTAAACACAGAGGTGTATTTGTTTAAAGGGGTAGACTCAAAAAAAAAACACGTAAAAAAACTTTTTATTTACTAAGCCTTTTTTTTTAAAATTTATTTGTTTATGTATAAGTTAGGGTAGTATAGGGAAAATATTTGCCATAAAGGGACTCTTCTGAAAATATGGTTGCCATGGAAACGGTGGTCATCTTGGAAAAATTACCTTTTGTGGAGTTCTAAAATTTCATAAAGTAACATATAAACCGCCCATATAATCATCGATCCTTCTTGTACTAACACTAATAGAGTCAGCTGGCTAGTTTTTGTAACAGAAAAACCGCTAGAAATATTTTTTCAAATTTTAAAAGTTTTTTTATGGTGAAATACCATTAATTTTAGCATAAATTTCAATGTAATTTCGCCATACCAAAATAAAAAAAAAATAAAAAATCTAGAGTGTTTTCTGTTACAAAAACTAGCCAGCCGACCCCGTGTTAGTACTAGAAGGACCGATGGTTATATTGCCGATACATATGTTAGTTATTGAAATTTTAGAACTCTACAAAAGATTGTTTTTTCAAGATAGCCACCGTTGCCATCGCAACCATATTTTCAATAAAGTCCTTGATGCTTGCAAATATTTTCTTTTAACTGCCTTAACGTAGATATACACAAATTAATCAATAAAACGTTTTAATTAAAAAGTTGTTTCTTTCTGGAGCCTACCCCCTTTGAAAAATAAGTGGTGTAATTGGTGTGGAGTTGAGAAATCATTGGTGTAGCATTTGAGAAGTTTTAAGTCTAAACTCTTAATGAGCGTAATAATTAGTAGACTGATTTTAGTTGAGAAAAAAAAAATGAATGCTTTCAGTAATTGGCTTTAGAATTCTTGTATGTTATTTAGAACTTGATTAAGACTGGAATTTAGATATAAGAAGTTCAGAAGATATCTGTTGCTGTCAATGTTGTGGCTGAGACTAAAATAATTTTAAAAAAAAGTGTAATGAATTCTTTTTTTACGATTACAGTCCGCTTTAGTGCCATCCCACAACATGGGTTTTGTGATGAAAACCTCACTGAATTTTATCAAGGCTTTGTAATGCAAAATGGACTGCATTTTATCAAGGCTTTGTAATGTCTAATGGACTGCATTTTATCAAGGCTTTGTAATACAAAATGGACTGCATTTTATCAAGGCTTTGTAATGTCTAATGGACTGCATTCTATCAAGGCTTTGTAATGCAAAATGGATTGCATTTTATCAGGGCTTTGTAATGTCTAATGGACTGCATTTTATCAAGGCTTTGTAATGTCTAATGGACTGCATTTTATCAAGGCTTTGTAATGTCTAATGGACTGCATTTTATCAAAGCTTTGTAATGTCTAATGGACTGCATTTTATTAAGGCTTTGTAATGTATAATGGACTGCATTTTATCAAGGCTCTGAAAATTCCTTAAAACAAATTAATTCTAATTTACCAACACTGATAACATTAAAGGCGAACAAAATAGCATTATTTTGGATATAAATATAATTTTCTTGTGCATTGATTATTTTGGAAAATTTAAAATAAATGTGTGTCTTTTCGGTTTAATGATTGATTTTTACCTTAATATATTACTTGAAATCTTACTTGAAATTGTTTTCCAATGTAATAGTTATTTGTATTTTCTTACTTATTAAAAGTGTTACAATGAGGTTGATGGAAGTACTGCTTAAAGAACTCAAATACCTGACTCGAACAACGCATGTAAGTCAGTGTTAGCAATTCTTTGATTCTCCGCTATCACATCGTCATCACACTGCGTCAGAGTTTTATTTTCTATGACTCTCAAAGTCTTTTCCTCGACCTTTACTGTTATGTAGTCAATCACTGATCCCGTGTTCTTACACCTGTGCATTCAAAACAACAACTAAAAATATTGCACCTGCATTAATACTTTTATCTCATTGGCGTATTGTCTGTCAGATTTGTTATTGTAATAAAAGTTAGTTGACTATGCATACATTTTACCCTTCATTACAAAGAAACCAAATGAGTAGAATTTATTTCCTTTACCACTGACGCCTCTACTCACCTGAACCCTCTACCACTGACGCCTCTACTCACCTGAACCCTCTGATACTGAAGTATTCCAAGAAGAACGCGATCACGAAGAAACACAGCGTACTCCCAGAAGAGTATAAGAGTTTGTTTTGGTTCATTTCAAACGTGACTGAAACACCCCACCCCAGATATAGAAGGTTAAATCCGTCATATTCATTACAATTTAATACTGATATAAGGACAGTGTAAGACTGTTAGAGTGAACGCAAGAATGAAGATGAATTGAACCTAGGTCATGGGTCAGGGCAAAGGTCAGCAGTGACATCACTGCACGAGCCTGCTTTACTTTAAATAAAGATTGCTGTCCTAATGGTGTCACACACCCCCCTCCCGAAAGAAAAATTCATATATATAATTAATCAATTCAATAATAGTTTCGCTGTCTGTGTATGTATCTGTCTATCTATCTGACAAGAACGCTCTAGAGAAAACACAAGCAAATTAAAAACTTTCATAGTAAAACGGAAACGAAACATGACGTCACATTAAGCATAGAGTAGAAAATATTATCAAGCCGGAGAGTGCACACAGTAATATGACGTCATTGATTCTCGAGTAAACATTTCGTAAAAAGGCAATTTTGTCTAATCTAAGTGGTTTGCGTGAAGAGTTTCTTTCATACAATTCTTCGGGTAGGGGCGAAGCCCATCTCCGCGTAAGAACGTCTAAGCTGACCCCCCCCCCCCCCCACCGACTCAAAAGAAATGTCATCGATACTCTATAATAAAATTACAGCCTAATTCATGTGTCTAATGTAAAAAGTTATTTGCTTGCAGAGTTTATTTCATGCATCTCTTCGGGTAGGGGCGGAGCCCATTTAACCCCACCCCCCTGGTCTAATCCCTACCCTAAAAGAGTTTCTTTCATGCAATTCTTCGGGTAGTGGCTAAGCGCGACACCAGTGTTTCTTTCAGACTTTTTCTTCCCCGGAGGGAGGAACTTTTTCTAATCTAAAAAGTGTTTAGCGTGCACAGTTTTTTTCATGCGTCTCTTCCGGTAGGAAGTTGGGTGGACTCAGGGACGGTCTACTGACTTGAACCCGGATTCGAACTCGAGACTTACGGGTTAGCAGTCCAGCTCTCTACCGCTAGACCCCTCCGTCCCATTTTATTGCTAATGGTCTCCATTATTCATTCTCGTCTCTTAAGTTTTCTAAACCATATTTTTTTACAATGGATTAGAAAAATAACCCATGAACAAATTACAAATCATGGATAACAAATCAGTAAAAAACAAAACTAAGAACATCGACACAAGGCTAAATTTTTAAGCACATTCAAAAGTACATGTATTGTTCCATTGTCTCACACTAACACACACTTACACACACATACACACACACAAACATACGTACAAAGGCCGTTTTAAATAATTTCCTTATCGAATGATATGTATATTTGTAAATTTTCTATGTGGTTTCACCCCAATCCACTTTATTGGATGGTGTATTTGGTGACACCCGCTTCCTAACTTTTGTCGAATGGCGTCAATTTTGTGCAAACAATATATTAATCTACCTAGAAAAAAGCATTTTGGGGCCTAATCCTAACAGTTATTTATTCAATTGCAAAATCATTGTTTTTGTAGTGGATTCACACACAAGTTATTACGACTCTCAACCAAACCGTATACCTCAGGCAAATTTTGTAACGTTTAGTAGATGTAAACCCCCCCCCCCCCCCAACTTTCCAGGTGATAGCTTTAAACTGTGCACATAGTGAGCTATGAATACCGTTGGGTGAAGCAATGTTTTCTCTATCATTAGCAGGATCACGTCGACCATGCGACCCATACATGATTGCGGGCGCTCTGATAGTTACATATATTGACATGATTAAAAAAAAATATATGTGGTAGACCGTCTGGCTGTTGAGTATTAAAATATGGCATTTATTCAGGCCGGATTTTGGGCACAAGTAACTCTGAAATAATCTCGTATTAAAGAGGAACACATAAATTAGCTTTCTAAACATTATTTATCAGATAATTTTTTGCTACTCAGTTTTTGTAAGTGCTATATTAATTAAACTTTTAATTATTTTAATGTAAGCCACTGCACTGCAAATTAGCTTCCATTTTTGGTTGTACCTAATAAAACGAACGCATTATATTACTTTAGCGCTATAAAGTGTTCGTTCACCGAAACACATTTTAAAATCTTCAAATATTAACCTTAAGCTCAACATATTAGCCTCAACCGTAACCTATTAGCCTCAACCGTAACCTATTGACCTCAACCGTAACCTATTGACCTCAACCGTAACCTATTGACCTCAACCGTAACCTATTGACCTCAACCGTAACCTATTGACCTCAACCGTAACTTATTAGCCTCAACCGTAACCTATTGACCTCAACCGTAACCTATTGACCTCAACAGTAACCTATTGACCTCAACCGTAACCTATTGACCTCAACCGTAAGCTATGAACCTGCTCTTAGCTAACCACAACAATCCGTTTTCTCACTTACCCTGCAGCGATGGGCTTAGACCTAACGATACATGGAAGAAGCCTAGGTTGGCGTTAGGGGATGCGACGCTCATTATATGTAGTCCAAGGTATCCGATAGTTCGGTTGATAAATATCATGCTGACAAAGTATGCTACAACTGTAGAGAAAAACAGTGAAAACGCTGTTAAGGGGAGAAGGTGTGGTAGAGACAGAGGCATACTGAGAAGGGGAGGGGTAGAGACAGAGGCATACTGAGAATTGGAGGGGTAGAGACAGAGGCATACTGAGAATTGGAGGGGTAGAGACAGAGGCATACTGAGAATTGGAGGGGTAGAGACAGAGGCATACTGAGAAGGGGAGGGGTAGAGACAGAGGCATACTGAGAATTGGAGGGGTAGAGACAGAGGCATACTGAGAATTGGAGGGGTAGAGACAGAGGCATACTGAGAAAGAGACATAATTATAATGACAAAGAAGATGCACAAAAAAAAGTGAAACAAACTATAAATGTTGCATTAGACGCTCATCAAAGGCCTGAACAAACGATAAATGTTGCATTAGACGCTCATCAAAGGCATGATCAAACGATAAACGTTGCACTAGACGCTCATCAAAGGCTTTTGTTCCATTTTATAAAACAGACGAAATAATACACCTTTAACATAGCAAGTTACCAGTTAATACGTTGTATACCAGGAAAGCAAAAATTGCAGTTGTTGCATTTTTAAAGACAATTTGGAAGGTGTAAATGAGCGGCAGGACGCTGGTGATGTATAAGACGTGCATGGCAGCCAGCATGGGGAGCTGCTGCAGCAGGAAGGTGACGGTGTGTTGCACGAAGGTGACCAGCCACATCAGCAGGGTGCACGACAGCAGCAGGCTCACATCGAACACCCAGTTGGATAAGTACGACATCCAAAACGGCTTACCACTGATCATCTCTAAGTGTTTGGCTCCGCACTGTAACAATAAACACACTAGTCAAATAAACACTGAAACAATCAAAACACTAGTTAAAAAAAACACTAAAACAATAAACACACTAGTTCAATAAACACGCAAGTCAATAAACAACGAAACAATAAACATACTAGTTCAATAAACACACTAGTCAAATAAACACTGAAACAATAAACACACTAGTCAAATAAACACTGTAACAATAAACACACTAGTCCAATAAACACGCAAGTCAATAAACACTGAAACAATAAACACACTAGTTTAATAAACACACTAGTCAAATAAACACTGAAACAATAAAAACACAAGTCAATAAACACTGAAACAATAAACACACTAGTCCAATAAACACTGAAACAATAAACACACTAGTCAAATAAACGCTGAAACAATAAACACACTAGTCCAATAAACATTGAAACAAAAAACACACTAGTTCAATAAACACACTCGTACAAAAAACGAACAAGTCAAATAAACACTGTAACAATAAACACACAAGTCCAATAAACACGCAAGTCAATAAACACTGAAACAATAAAAACACAAGTCCAATAAACACTGAAACAATAAACACACTAGTTCAATAAACACTGAAACAATAAACACACTAGTTCAATAAGCAAACTAGTCAAATAAACACTAAAACAATAAACACACTAGTCCAATAAACACTGAAACAATAAACACACTAGTTCAATAAACACTGAAACAATAAACACACTAGTTCAATAAGCAAACTAGTCAAATAAACACTGAAACAATAAACACACTAGTCAAATAAACACTGAAACAATAAACACACTAGTCCAATAAACACTGAAACAATAAACACACTAGTCCAATAAACACTGAAACAATAAACACACTAGTTCAATAAACACTGAAACAATAAACACACTAGTCCAATAAACACTGAAACAATAAACACACTAGTTCAATAAACACTGAAACAATAAACACACTAGTTCAATAAACACTGAAACAATAAACACACTAGTTCAATAAACACTGAAACAATAAACACACTAGTCCAATAAACACTGAAACAATAAACACACTAGTTCAATAAACACTGAAACAATAAACACACTAGTTCAATAAGCAAACTAGTCAAATAAACACTGAAACAATAAACACACTAGTCAAATAAACACTGAAACAATAAACACACTAGTCCAATAAACACTGAAACAATAAACACACTAGTCCAATAAACACTGAAACAATAAACACACTAGTTCAATAAACACTGAAACAATAAACACACTAGTTCAATAAACACTGAAACAATAAACACACTAGTTCAATAAACACTGAAACAATAAACACACTAGTTCAATAAGCAAACTAGTCAAATAAACACTGAAACAATAAACACACTAGTCAAATAAACACTGAAACAATAAACACACTAGTCCAATAAACACTGAAACAATAAACACACTAGTCCAATAAACACTGAAACAATAAACACACTAGTTCAATAAACACTGAAACAATAAACACACTAGTCCAATAAACACTGAAACAATAAACACACTAGTTCAATAAACACTGAAACAATAAACACACTAGTCCAATAAACACTGAAACAATAAACACACTAGTTCAATAAACACTGAAACAATAAACACACTAGTCATTAAACAAAACCAGCCAAGAAAACGCCAGCCAGAATAAACCAGATTTTATTATCAAACCGGTCTAACCAAAGACAAGACAGCCAATAAAGACCACCCTATCCAGCAACTCACAGTATTTTCTAATCAACTGGTAGCAATTAGTTTCAATAACTTGATCAAGTCAAACATTTTTTTCATAACAATGTTGCCTACATAGCCCATTTTTTCTCCAAGTTCTAAGCTAAATGAAATACTTTTAAAAAATAAACCAGGAGTGATCACCCCTAAACTTTCTCGAATATTCTTATATAACTTGGAATATAGACATGATTTTTAATTACTTACACTTTTAAAAATAGAATAGAATCTCATAGAAAAAAAGAATAGCGCACCAAGCGAACGCCAAAACAAAATGTGCATAATAGTGCGCAATATTATTAGTACTTTATAAATTCACATTCGTTTTTTGAGAAATCGGAAATAGCGTAAATTAGTACTTCCGGTCAACGGAAATTACTCAAAATTTGACAGAAGGTAGAAAATTAGATCTTTTACTTACATGTGTAATTTCATTTTTCTATCTGAAATAGTACTCAAGTTATAGGCTTTTGAAAAATTGAAAGTAGAAAAAGTACCACTTCCGGTTATCGGAAATCGCTCAAAAATTGATCAGGATCTACGATTTTGATAAAATACTTAGATATGAAATTTTATCAACCTAGCTGTAACGGTACTCAAGTTATCGTGTTTACACACAGACAGACACACACACACACACACACACAGACACACAGACATACGGACAAGATAAGATTGCAAAATTATGTTTTTCCGTATCAATGAGGTGTAAAACGTCGAGATTTGTAAAAATCTCGATTTTTATTTTTGCACGATCACAAGACTTTCTCTATACTTCGTATATACGAGAAAGTAAAAATTGACAGCACATATACTTAGGTAGAAGTATGCTTTCACAAGCTTACTTATCACGCAAATATTGCAACTTTTAATACACACATTCACCCCCCACATACGCAAGTCCTAAAACAATGGTAACCTCTTCTACCTATAGAGGGGAGAGTCGTGAGAGGTGGGACAATGATTTTATCCCTCAACAAACATAACACATTCTTCTCTTTTATCCGTCTACTCAGGGGTCTCCAAACTTTTCAGCCCGAGGGCCGCATTAACTATCAAATATCAGCTCGCGGGCCAGAGTAGAGTTTCCTCCATGCATCCTTTGGGGTGGCTGTGGCCACCGTGCCCCCCCCCCTCCAAAGAAATAGAATTTATATAGAAATATAAACACATTTTAAATGCAACCCCCTCCTTCCAGGAGAAAAAGTCTGAAAGAAACACTGTCCGGCCGACAACACACTCGAGGTCCAAGTTTGTTCTCCTCGGGCAAACACAAAAACCCACCCGCCATTGTTTGAACTTGTCTCTAAGGAGGTCATTTGCTTGCAATTCAATATCCTCCATCTGCAGTTCATCTGGGTAACTGGTTACATTTGCTTCAAATGGGTATTGAAGCAGTCTCACTTCTTCTGCCTTTGAATCCTAGTCAGTAAAGTAGTCAGAAAACCGCTGCTGAAACTGCAGCTGGTGGTTTTTGATGATCTCGCATGCAAATGATATGGGGAACTCAGCTGTTGCTTCAGTCATGAAAATCTTACACTGCGGAAAGTGCGAGAGTGCGTCACGTTGTTGCCCTGTACTTGTTCCAGAAACATGGAACAGCTGTCCAGCGACTCTGTTTGATCACAATGTTTTCATCAATGTTTGCAACACGGAGGACAAAGGTATTTATACCCAAAGCTAGATTTTCAAATTGTTTTGAATTTTCTGAGCAAAGTACCTCAGCCACTTCTAACAAACATTTTTTTCCGTGAACAAAAAGATCTCCGAGGGCCGGATGAGAGGACCTCGCGGGCCGTAGTCTGGAGACCCCTTGTCTAGAATAATCCCTAAATTTCCCAATCACGGGAATATACTATTGTTCCAAATTCGAAATAGTCTTTAACACGCTGGATAGAAAATGTATATTTAAATGACAAATTTTTTTAACACGCTGGATAGAAGATGTATATTTAAATGGAAGAGGTGAAATTATTACCACACACACACACACACACAGACACACACACAGACACACACACTTACCCACACCCACACCCCACCCCCATAAACCCACATCCCCCACACAACACAACACATTAGCACTACACCAGTCGACTTTATGCTACACAACACAAAATTGGGCAACTGAGAATGTGAATGTAGCTAGACATCTCCATCGAACTAGGGCACATTATCATATGAGAGAGTACTCACGCTTTTTTCAGTGGACAGCCAGCTAAGGACTAAGATCTGTATTAGAAGCATTGATAGGTGTATGGCATGCAACGTCTTGATTGGTGTAGAGTTATCGGACTTGAGTTGCCCCAGAGAGAAAACACCGCTCAGGATGGAGATGTTTTGTCCAAAGATTGATTGGGTGTAGGCATTTAGGAAAAGGTTTACCTGCAACACGGAACAGGATGGAGATCTTTTGTCCAAACAAACAAACAAATAAACAAACAAACAAATAAACAAATAAGTAAACAAATAAACAAACAAATAAACAAACTAATAAACAAACTAATAAACAAACAAATAAACAAACAAATAAACAAACAAATAAACAAACAAATAAACAAACAAATAAGCAAACAAATAAACAAACAAAAAAGCAAACAAATAAACAAACAAATAAACAAACTAATAAACAAACAAATAAAAAAACAAATAAACAAGCAAATAAACAAACAAATAAACAAACAAATAAGCAAACAAATAATCGAACAAATAAACAAACAAATAAACAAATAAACAAACAAATAAACAAATAAACAAAGAAATAAGCAAACAAATAATCAAACAAATAAACAAACAAATAAACAAAGAAATAAACAATGAAATAAACAATCAAATAAACAAACAAACAAATAAACAAACAAATAAAAAAAACAACAAACAAGCAAACTAATTAACAAAATAATTCAATAAAAGCTTGTAATTACACACCACCCCCACTAATATCAAATATACCCACCGCCACACCTTCGCTGTGAACGTAGGAGCCTTGATAATGCACCGTGCTGGCTTGTGGCGGACTCGCGATATCAAAGCCCATTAGAATTTTCTGTGTATAACGTTCGGCAGAATGCTCTCTCGCCCATGCTTTGAGAGAATCGTCAAAGGACTGTAAGAAAAGTTCACTTATACACTATTGTAATCGGAAAGTTGAACTGTGCAACATGGTTCTAGGTATGGTTTAAGCACATTCCTTCTTTCAGATGAATCTTATGAGCAAATATGTTATTCTAGCCATGTATAAAAAGATCTCACGCCGACATTTTACTTCTTTGATTTTCTAAAGAAAAAAATATTTAATCTTGCAGATTTATTTCAGCTAGAGTTAAAAAGTCTCTATTATATTTGTTTTTTTACTTTAGTTTTATAACTGATATTTTTTGTTTTTAAAATAGATTTTTTTTTATATTTGTTTATGTAATATTTGTCGTTAAAATGTTTAGTTTTTTCTGCATAAGTAACATCGCAATAAAGAAATTTCTATTCTTTAAAATGTGTTTTTATTTTACGTTTTATTTTTTTCTCTAGATTTATAGCTGATATGTGTATAATTCAGATTGTTTTGTTTCTTCTTCTTATTATTATTATGATATTTATTATTCCGATAATTTGTATATCCATTAGGTTTATCATTTACCACTTTGTGTAACTGTTGATCTGTCAGTGAGATGGTTTTTTACTTGTATCGTTAGTTTAAGTATATTTTAGATTTATCAGTATGTTGGTAATATTGTAAATGGTTTAATTGAAATCTACAGTCTTCATGTGTCACCGTTGTGATTTGTGGACAGCTTAGATTTCAGAAGTTTCATTCGCAAACAGATCAAGTATTACTTTTTCTCATCATGTTTACGCTTTACGAAAGTGGTTCTTCGAAAATTTACAAATTAGTCCATGATATTATTTGTCCGGAAATATTTTGTCCTGATATCTTTTGTCTGTGAGATCAATTGTCCTTGAGATCATTTGTCCTGTCACTGTATATATATATATATATATATATATATATATATATATATATATATATATATATATATATATATATATATATATATATATATATATATATATATATATATATATATATATATATATATATATATATATCTACTTGCGTGCCCGTCACCCGCGCGTTGCCGCGGTGTTAAAAAAAAGTCCCAGGATAGTCCGGTGCAAATCGTAACCTGCCGGGGCGAGGTCAAACGCGCCTGATTTAGTGTAGTGAACGACTATAATACTACTTCGTATCCAAATTATATAACACTTCATATAACACAATATATAACACACAACGTATACTTCATAGCGCTAACGGGATATCCCGGGCGCCAAAATGCAATGTGTCGGGCGCCAGCGAACTTGTCTGATTCAGTGAATGACTAAACACCCCATCTTATTCATAGTCTAATGCACTGTTTAAAACTAACGTAGGCGCCATAGCCCTCACGGGATAGCCTGGGGCGCTAAGTTGCGCCTTGCTGGGGCGCCGCTCGTGCAAATTTTTTTTTTTGCAGATACTTCCCCAGGAGTATTCTTAACAACTTCCCAAAAGTTTCATTGCGATCGGAAGGAAGGCGTAGTAATGCATAATAATAATAATAAGTTACCAGAGAATCGTCTAGTTCAACTATATGATAGTCAGATGGCAATAGAGCCTGCAGACTTTTGTATATATCGGTAGCAGCGGGGTCAGAAGACCGGCGGACAGCTACGCACTTTTCTCTATAGTTGTCTGTCTTGAAGTACAGTGGCGGCGCCTGGTTGTGAGTGTAGGAGGCCCACACCAGCAATCCTGCGATAATCACGCTAAACCCCATTAGAATAAAAAATGTAGCCCAGTTTCGTTTGATTATTATCCATCTTTTAATAAACAAGGCTTGGAATTGTTGTCGCCTCAGTGCCGATCCATGGTTTAGTGTGTTCACAGCACATTGATTCGTTTCTGCCGAAAAAGACGAAGTTCAGCCCAAAAATGCGTAGCTTCAAGAACATTTAAATACATGAAAAGATATATTTAAATACATAATTATACACATGCCTATACACATACACAAGTGTATATATCATTTATACGTATATATATATATATATATATATATATATATATATATATATATATATATATATATATATATATATATATATATATATATATATATATATAACATTCTTATTGTGGGGGGGTGTAACCTTTAGTTGTCGCACCGGATGACACCCGACCTAGCGACGACACTGCTCTTAGCTTTTTTGGCTGTAGTGTGGACAAACCCGCGGCTTAACTAAAATCCAAGGTATATAGTGCCGGCATTGTTTACAGTTGAATAACTTAGCTTTAGATAACAAAGTCGCACGTCTAAAAATAACTTTAAAAACCTTTGACAAATGACGCAATCTGCATCTATTTTTATACGATCCAATCAGAAATTGAGATCACGCGTCTAAAAATAAACCATGGTTAACTCTAGCGAGTTGCGTCTGTCACTATTAATGTTTCAATAACAATGTATCATATTTCCGTATGAAAGAAATTTATAAACTTCAATGAAAATATACATTTCATGTTATCAAAAAGTGTTTCATTGAATTTCTTTCATTATGTGATATCCTAATTAATAAAAGTCCATGTGCGCACTTCTCTCTCTGTCCGCAAAATATTTTCACAGGATATCGCATCAGAATCTTCAGCGATATATGGAGAACTTGATACGGACTTTTGTTGAAAATAATATGGTAGATGTTTTAAATGTATAAACAAAATTTTATATAAAGAAGAAAAATAAAAAATAAAAGCGTATTAGAATATAGAAAAACAATTTTAATTATGCAACCGGAAAAGTGTTTATGGTTGTGACAAGAACCCATAAAACAATGACGTCACATGCCAAATGTTTACACTAAGGAAAGTACACAAAACTCATGGCGTCATCTTCCGATTTTAGAATATAGATATAGACTCTATCTCTTCTAGAATCTATTTCAATAATAAATTTCTATATTAAACTATTTCAGGCCTTAATTATATTATAGAAATCTTTGTTTGTTTAGCTATGGACTATGCTGATTTGTGAAAAATTACAATAGGCCTATTCGCGTAAGTTAAGTTTCTTAACTACATCTTTTATTCTTTATTGATCATAAGATGCCATAATAGCTGAGATGATAGTGTTATTAATACCATGAGGGTGGTACGGGTTCGAGACACACGAAGTCTATCTTAATTAATTTTTTTTTCATTTTTTTTAATATGTTGATGATAAAGTTGCCTATCGGTACTTGGCGAGACATGGGGCAGGTGAAGAAGAGTTGACCTGATTCTGTCTTTTTAGCATATGAAGGGATAGTGTGGTCAGACCCATGCTCAGCCGAAATAGGTGTTTTTAAAAGACAAAAGCAACATAACTACCATTGAACAGCCGGGCTTTTAAAGAAATCTTTTAAGTCTCTTAATTTTAAGTCTCTTAATCAGCGAGTGCATTTAATATGGTATTGTGTTGACTAATACTGTATATAATTTGATTTTAATTTTTCTAATAGGTATTGTTATTTTAAACAAGTATAAACATAGACAGTAAATATAATAAAACCCATTTTTTTTCAAAATCTAAACAATGTTTCCTTCCAATGTTCTTGATCAATAAAATGTTTCTTTTACATAATTTCCGATGATGACTTTTTTAAAAGCTGAATTACAATTCATTTCATTACTCACTTTCCGTATGAATATACATTTTTTTTCATGCATCTCTACCGTTTCTTCCTATTTCACCCCCGAACGAAATTGAAAAAAAAAACATACTAAAATATAGAAAAGCCAGTATCAGCTACCCCCCCCCCCCTTCCACGCACACACAACCCCCAAACCCTCCTCCGGACAGCTTTAAATGCCGCTCCACGGAGATAAATATCTAAAAGAAAAAACGGGTAGCCTTTTGTAAAGAGAAGAGAACTAAAAGTCACCAGCATTGCCCGTTACACGGGTACCGGTGGCTAGTTGCAGCAGAAATGCGCAACGGGTCTACAGGCTAAAAATAAACCGGGAGTGATCTCCCCTAAACTTTCTCGAATATTCTTATATAACTCGGAGTATAGACATGATTTTAAATTACTTTTAAAAATAGAATAGAATCTCGTAGAAAAAAGAATTGCGCACCAATCGAACGTCAAAACAAAATGTGCATAATATTGCGCAATATTATTAGTACTTTAAAATTTACATTCGTTTATGAGAAATCGGAAATAGCGTAAAGTAGTACTTCCGGTCAACGGAAATTACTCAAAATTTGACAGAAGGCAGAGAATTAGATCTTTTACTTACATGTGAAATTTCATTTATCTATCTGAAATAGTACTCAAGTTATAGGCTTTTGAAAAATTCCAAGTAGAAAAAGTACCACTTCCGGTTATTGGAAATCGCTCAAAAGTTGATCAGGATCTACGATTTTGATAAAATACTTAAATATGAAATTTCATCAACCTAGCTGTAACGGTACTCAAGTTATCGTGTTTACACACACACAGACAGACAGACACACAGACATACGGACAAGATTGCAAAATTATGTTTTTCCGTATCAGTAAGGTGTAAAACGTCGAGATTTGTAAAAATCTCGATTTTTTTTGCTCGATTACAAGACTTTCTCTATACGAGAAAGTAATGAATATTTCTTTTTGTATCTAATAATACTTCCCATCTGATAGGCCTACAGACTAATAATAATAAATCTAATTTCTCTGGACTTAAGCATTCAACTGAATTGCACCGTTATTTACCTATTATAACTGGATTTATGCTTTTGATTGGTGCGTCTTGCGTTTCCATTGGTTTACCAATGTCGATCTGGTTGTTAGACTCTGCCGGGCCGTCTGCTGAATCCTCCAGGATTCCATCTTGGGCTGCTGATGGGCTAACCACCTCCGCGTCCCCAGTCTCCTCATGTACCTCGTCTTGGATGACCAATGTGTTTTCCCCAGTCTCCGCAAGGGTGACTTCTTGGCCGCCGATTGTGTCTATCTCTTTTACCGTTTGACTGGATTGTGGTGACATTTTTATTCTAAGCAATTAAAAACAATACTGTGGTGAAACTAAGCCGAGAGAATATTGTATGATTAGAATGTTACTTAGATGGCAAGAAAATGATACTAAAAGAAATGAATGCTGTGGTGCATGGTACTCACGTTTGTGCTGGTGATTCGACTGCATCGTCCTGATCACTGGAACTAAGTGAGGAGTCAAATCATTGGCAAGGAGGAATGTGCATTTACAAACAAAGACAAGGAGGTTCAGTGGTTGCATGATAAATGGTGGTGTGGGGTTTCAATTGTTGCATGATAAATGGTGGTGTGGAGGTTCAATGGTTGCATTATAAATGGTGGTGTGGAGGTTCAATGGTTGCATGATAAATGGTGGTGTGAAGGTTCAGTAGTTGCATGATAAATGGTGGTGTGGAGGTTCAGTGGTTGCATTATAAATGGTGGTGTGGAGGTTCAATGGTTGCATGATAAATGGTGGTGTGGAGGTTCAGTGGTTGCATTATAAATGGTGGTGTGGAGGTTCAGTGGTTGCATGATAAATGGTGGTGTGAAGTTTCAGTGGTTGCATGATAAATGGTGGTGTGGAGGTTCAGTGGTTGCATGATAAATGGTGGCGTGGGGTTCAGTGGTTGCATTATAAATGGTGGTGTGGAGGTTCAGTGGTTGCTTGATAAATGGTGGTGTTGAGGTTCAGTGGTTGCATTATAAATGGTGGTGTTAGGTTCAGTGGTTGCATGATAAATGGTGGTGTGGAGGTTCAGTGGTTGCATTATAAATGGTGGTGTGGAGGTTCAGTGGTTGCATGTTAAATGGTGGTGTGGAGGTTCAGTGGTTGCATGTTAAATGGTGGTGTGGAGGTTCAGTGGTTGCTTGATAAATGGTGGTGTGGAGGTTCAGTGGTTGCATGTTAAATGGTGGTGTGGAGGTTCAATGGTTACATGTTAAATGGTGGTGTGGAATGTTAATTTGGACATATGATCTAAATGTACCTTTCTTTTCCCATTAAAGATATTATCTAAATGAAATATATGATCTAAATGAAGATGGGGACAAATATGGAGTAAAAAATAACATATGCAACTCACAATATTTCATCCTCAACTTCATCTCGCTCGTCTCCAACCCTGGGCAACAGAATAAAATTAAAATCGTTATGATGATAATATATAGCTACATTATATTATGGTCGTTAGTTAGAAGAGTGTCAATATCAGCCATGTAATGGTCAATATCAGCCATGAGAATGTCAATATCTGCCATGAGAATGTCAATATTAGCCATAACAATATGTCAATATTAGGCAAGAGAGTTTCAATATTAGGTGAAAATTGATACAGTTTTTCAAAATTATCGTCAATGTCAATCTTGATATATTTACCACAGAAAAACTTGGTATTTTTGCCTGAGAAAAACTTGATATATTTACCTGAAAAAACCTTGATATATTTACCTGAGAAAAACTTGATATATTTACCTGAGAAAATCTGGGTATATTTACCCGAGAAAATCTTGATATATTTACCTTGGACTATCTGGGTATATTTACCTAAGAAAATCTTGATATATTTACCTGAGAAAAACTTGATATATTTACCTGAGAAAATCTTGATATATTTATCTGAGAAAATCTTGATATATTTACCTGAGAAAATCTTGATATATTTACCTGAGAAAATCTTGATATATTTACCTGAGAAAATCTTGATATATTTACCTGAGAAAAACTTGATATATTTACCTGAGAAAATCTTGATATATTTACCTGAGAAAAACTTGATATATTTACCTGAGAAAAACGTCCTCCATTGAAGTCCGGGACAGTCCATACGACAGTATTTTCAGTCGGCTCATCTTCTGTTCCAGGACGTTCAATGACTTAGGGAATGATTTGACTCCCTTCTCGTGTAAAACAAAATTCATCTCCGAAATCGTCGAAGACTTAAAAAAAGAAATTGCATTAAAATTTGCCGAAAATTTATAATATAAACTACAAAATTGTGTGTCACCCTACCCTACCCTACCTAACCATACCCTACCCTACCCTACCCTACCCTACCCTACCCTACCCTACCCTACCCTACCCTACCCTACCCTACCCTACCCTACCCTACCCTACCCTACCCTACCCTACCAAACCCTACCCTACCCTACCCTACCCTATCTTACCCTACCCTACCTTCCCCTACCCTACCCTACCCTACCCTACACTACCATATCCTACCCTACCCTACCCTAACCTATCCTACCCTGCTGTGTTGTGTTACTGTGTTGTGTTGCTATGTTGTGTCGAGGTGTTGTGTGGCTGTGTTGTGTCGAGGTGTTGTGTTGCTGTTTTGTGTTGCTGTATTGTGTCGAGGTGTTGTGCTGCTTTGTTGTGTCGAGGTGTTGTGTGGCTGTGTTGTGTCGAGGTGTTGTGTTGCTGTGTTGTGTTGCTATGTTGTGTCGAGGTGTTGTGTGGCTGTGTTGTGTCGAGGTGTTGTGTTGCTGTTTTGTGTTGCTGTGTTGTGTGGCTGTGTTGCTGTGTTGTGTTGCTGTGTTGTGTGGCTGTGTTGTGTTGTGTGGCTGTGTTGTGTGGCTGCGTTGTGTGGCTGTGTTGTGTGGCTGTGTTGTTGTGTTGTGTTGCGGTGTTGTGTTGTGTGGCTGTGTTGTGTGGCTGTGTTGTGTTGCTGTGTTGTGTTGCTGTGTTGTGTTGCTGTGTTGTGTTGTGTGGCTGTCTTGTGTTGCTGTGTTGTGTTGCTGTGTTGTGTTGCTGTGTTGTGTACCTGTGTGGCTGTGTTGTATTGCTGTGTTGTGTGGCTGTGTTGTGTGGCTGCGTTGTGTGGCTGTGTTGTGTTGCTGTGTTGTGTGGCTGTATTGTGTGGCTGTGTGGCTGTGTTGTGTTGCTGTGTTGTGCTGCTGTGTTGTGTGGCTGTGTTGTGTTGCTGTGTTGTGTGGCTGTGTTGCTGTGTTGTGTTGCTGTGTTGTGTTGCTGTGTTGTGTTGTGTGGCTGTGTTGTGTGGCTGTGTTGTGTGGCTGTGTTGTGTGGCTGTCTTGTGTTGCTGTGTTGTGTTGCTGTGTTGTGTGGCTATGTTGTGTTGTGTTGCTGTGTTGTGTTGCTGTGTTGTGTACCTGTGTGGCTGTGTTGTATTGCTGTGTTGTGTGGCTGTGTTGTGTGGCTGTGTTGTGTGGCTGCGTTGTGTGGCTGTGTTGTGTTGCTGTGTTGTGTGGCTGTATTGTGTGGCTGTGTGGCTGTGTTGTGTTGCTGTGTTGTGCTGCTGTGTTGTGTGGCTGTGTTGTGTTGCTGTGTTGTGTGGCTGTGTTGCTGTGTTGTGTTGCTGTGTTGTGTTACTGTGTTGTGTTGCTGTGTTGTGTTGTGTGGCTGTGTTATGTGGCTGTGTTGTGTGGCTGTGTTGTGTGGCTGTGTTGTGTGGCTGTCTTGTGTTGCTGTGTTGTGTTGCTGTGTTGTGTTGTGTGGCTGTCTTGTGTTTCTGTGTTGTGTTGCTGTGTTGTGTTGCTGTGTTGTGTGCCTGTGTGGCTGTGTTTTTATGCTGTGTTGTGTGGCTGTGTTGTGTGGCTGTGTTGTGAGGCTGTGTTGTGTTGCTGTGTTGTGTGGCTGTATTGTGTGGCTGTGTGGCTGTGTTCTGTTGCTGTGTTTTGTTGCTGTGTTGTGTTGCTGTGGTGTGTGGCTAAGTTGTGTTGTGTGGCTGTGTTGTGTGGCTGTGTTGTGTTGTGTGGCTGTGTTGTGTGTCTGTGTTGTGTTGTGTTGCTGTGTTGTGTGGCTATGTTGTGTTGTGTTGCTGTGTTTTGTTGCGGTGTTGTGTTGTGTGGCTGTGTTGTGTGGCTGTGTTGTGTGGCTGTGTTGTGTGGCTGTGTTGTGTGGCTGTGTTGTGTTGCTGTGTTGTGTTGCTGTGTTGTGTTGCTGTGTTGTGTTGTTGTGCTGGGTTGCTGTGTTGTGTTGCTGTGTTGTGTGGCTGTGTTGTGTTGTGTGGCTGTGTTGTGTTGTGTGGCTGTGTTGTGTTGATGTTTTGTGTTGTGTGGCTGTGTTGTGTTGATGTGTTGATGTGTTGTGTTGCTGTGTTGTGTGGCTGTGTGGCTGTGATGTGTTGTTGTGTTGTGTGGCTGTCTTGTGTTGCTGTGTTGTGTTGCTGTGTTGTGTGCCTGTGTGGCTGTGTTGTGTGGCTGTGTTGTGTGGCTGTGTTGTGTTGTGTGGCTGTGTTGTGTTTTGTTTTGTGTTGTGTGGCTGTGTTGTGTGGCTGTGTGGCTGTGTTGTGTTATGTTGCTGTTTTGTTTTGCTGTGTTGCTGTGTTGTGTGGCTGTGTTGTGTTGCTATGTTGTGTTGCTATGTTGTGTGGCTGTTTTGTGGCTGTGTTGTGTTGCTGTGTTGTGTTGCTGTGTTGTGTGGCTATGTTGTGTTGCTGTGTTGTGTTGCTGTGTTGTGTGGCTGTGTTGTGTGGCTGTGTTGTGTCCCATCATGTTGATGTACCAGAAATTTAGCTTTGGTAAAAGTTGAGATGATGTGTTGCCTGACGATCTCCTCTACACAATTCTGCGCCTTGACGAGAGTCAACTTATAGCCGACACCTGGCGACAAGTCGTGGGACTAGTGAACGGCGATGACAGCGAACATGGCACACACAGACAACACGTAACATTTCTAGACGTCGTTGTCTATGTTCATTATTTATTCATATCATATTTTTTACTTTTGGAAAATACTAGCTCTTAAATTGGATAACATATAACTAGCTCTTTTATTGGGTACGGCTAGCTTACAACTAGCTCTTTTATTGGGTAAGCTAGCTTACAACTAGCTCTTTTTATGGGTAAGGCTAGCTTACAACTAGCTCTTTTATTGGGTAAGGCTAGCTTACAACTAGCTCTTTAATTGGGTAAGCTAGCTTACAACTAGCTCTTTAATTCGGTAAGTCTAGCTTACAACTTAATTGGGTAAGGCTAGCTTACAACTAGCTCTTAGGGGTGGTACTATAAGTGAACTAAGAAACAACGATAGCCGTTTCAATCGATGTATCAGTTTTACAATTTAATTGTTCCATTGAATAGTATGTATGACTTATGAAACAATATTGTAGACTTAAAACAGACTTACTATACTTGTAGAAGAATATTATAGACTTACCATACACTTAAAACAGACTTACTGTACTTGTAGAAGAATATTCTAGACTTACCATACACTTTTTTTAAAAACGTTGGAGATCCATAGCACTGGACAACACCCCTGGCCATAATGGCTATTCTGTCACTCAAGTTCTCTGCCTCGTCCATAAAGTGGGTCGTCATGACGATTGTGCGGCCTGACTTCCATTTGGTTAAAAACTTCCAGAGGTCTCTCCTGGCACCTGGGTCGAGGCCAGTTGATGGTTCGTCAAGGAATATTGTCTGTTGGGTTACAGGTTAGTTTTGTTTTGTTAAATACACACCCTTATATAAAACAATCAATCTATATATAACCAGAATAACAGTAGTATTATGAACATCTAAATTACCTTGGTTAACTATCTAAACGAGCTTGGCTAACTATGTAAACTACCTTGGTTGACTATCTAAACTACCATTGTTAACTATCTAGACTTGTTAAATATCTAAACTACCTTGGCTAGCTATCTAAACTACCTTTGGTTAACTATGTAAACTACCTTGGTTGACTATCTAAACTACCATTGTTAACTATCTAAACTAGCTTGGTTGACTATCTAAACAACCTTGGTCGACTATCTAAAGTACCATTGTTAATTATCTAAACTACCTTGGTTGACTATCTAAACTACCATTGTTAACTGTCTAAACTACCTTGGTGTCACCAGCGAAGGCGCTAGCTACGGACAGCTTACGTCTTTGTCCACCAGACAAATTGATCGGGTCGATATCGATCTTATCGGCAACCCCCAACTCAGTCAGGACGGTCAGAACATCTCCTCGCGTCGTGTAGTTGTTGCGCATCTGGATGAGGAAGTAGCGGTCAATCCTACTTGCATATCTTCTATATATATAATTTTCTTCTTGGAGGCGCTAGAAAACAAGCTGTAAGCGCGCTCCCTACCACCCCACCCCTACAGGGTCTGGTGAGCTGTGGTTCACGCTAAATGTTTACAATCGTAGAGCCGGGTTTAGTGACGGTTATTAGGGGCAAATAATTTTGTTTGAAACGATTTCAAACTTAGGGGAGGTAACTAAGAGGAGGCTGCTTTCACAGGGGAGGGGGGATGTAGGGTAGGGGTTGGGGGAAAGGAGGGCGGGGGTGGTATCGTTCTTAACGACCTACTGATAGTGTTTTAAAGCAAATATTTTCAATGGCAGCATTGGTACTGTCGAATTCACAAATTATGAATTACTGAAAAGTAGAAAATAAAACAACTAAATAGCGGCGTATGATATGCCGCGGGTCGGCTCGTATTTTTTATTTTGTCTTTGTCTTTCAACATCGCGACAAAGAAAGTTTACGAACTTCCCAAAATAACAAAGTATTGTGTACAACCTACAAATAAATCGTGTCCACCTCTACATAAACTTCAGACCAGTGGAAGTCAGAGTTAAAAACAAGCTTAAATATTACGGTGGGGGGGGGGGGGGAGGGGGGGGGGGAGAAGCTGAAGGTATCTATGACCTACCCGAGAAAAGAACTGCAGCTGCTCATAGGCAGTGAGCCGGGGGAAGAACATGTCGTACTGCGGACAGAAGCCCAGCGTCTTCCTGATGGAGGTCATGTTCGTACGGACGTCCGCTCCACTGATCTTGATCACACCATGGGTGATGGGGGTCAGACCTAACAAATAACACCATGGGTGATGGGGGTCAGACCTAACAAATAACAACATGGGTGTGGGGGTCAGACCTAACAAATAACACCATGGGTGATGGGGTCTGACCTAACAGATAACACCCTTAGGTGACGGGGTCTGACCTAACAAATAACACCATGGGTAATGGGGGTCAGACCTAACAAATAACACCCTTAGGTGACGGGGTCAGACCTAACAAATAACACCATGGGTGATGGGGGTCATACCTAACAAGTAACACCAGTTGTTTAACATTACCTAGTATCATTGAAATGGTGGTGGTTTTACCGGCACCATTATGGCCAAGTAGCATCGTGATTTCATTGGGGTAGATGTCTAAAGTTACGCCGGACACTACCGTTTCACTGCCGTACACCTACGTGTGTGAATAGTCACATAACAGATTATACACAACAGAAGCTAAACAGTTTTTAGAGTATGGAACAAGTAAATAAATATATAATTTTAGCTTGTAAAATAAATATGTACATAATTTTTTGCATAAGGTTTTACATTTTAATAATCTTTACACAATTACATCAAAGAAAAATTTACATTATTCCATCCTGAAATATTTACATAATTACATCAATAAATATTTATATAATTATCTCAATAAATCCTTACATAATTACATCGATAAATATTTACACAATTATATCAATAAATCCTTACCTAATTACATCAAGAAATATTTACATAATTTTATTAAGAAATATTTACATAATTACATTCAAAGATATAGGCCTATACACCTAATTTCACCATTGAATATGAAAAAATGAAAATTTTATCTAAAACAAATGTGGTTTAGTCACTAATTTATTAGCTGCTTAGGTCACTGGTTTAGTCAGTGATTTAGTCAATGATTTAGTCACTGATTTAGTCACTGATTTAGGCACTGATTTAGTCACTGATTTAGTCACTGATTTAGTCACTGATTTAGTGACTGGTTTAGTCAATGATTTAGTCACTGATTTAGTCACTGATTTAGGCACTGATTTAGTCACTGATTTAGTCACTGATTTAGTCACTGATTTAGTCACTGATTTAGTGACTGGTTTAGTCACTGATTTAGTCATTGATTTAATCTCTACATTTGGCTATAATAAAATGCAATTTTTTAAAAATTACAAGAAAGACATGATGATTGTATAGAAACTATTCAAGTAGTTACAAGAAAGACAAATAAAGACTTCACAGACATGAACCAATACCTTCACT